CATTCGTTCAGTCATTTCTGACTCTTTGTGACTTCATGGACGAATCCACGCCAGAGCTCCCTGTTGGTCGTCACCACCCCCAGCTCCTTCAAGGTCAATCCAGTCACTTCAAGGATCCCATCCATCCATCTTGCCCTTGGTCGGCCCCTCTTCCTTTTTCCTTCCATTTTCCCCAGCATCATACTCTTCTCTAAGCTTTCCTTTCTTCTCATGATGTGGCCAAAGTACTTATTTTAACAGTACTTATTTATAAAGCCAGAGAGCCAGCCCGATGTAGTGGTTTGAGTATTGGACTCAGACAAAGGGAAGGTAGGTAAAGGTAGGCCCCTGACATTAAGTCCAGTCATGTCTGACTCTGGGGTGTGGTGCTCATCTCCATTTCTAAGCCGAAGAGCCAGCGTTGTCCGTAGACACCTCCAAGGTCATGTGGCCGGCATGACTGCATGGAGCGCCGTTACCTTCCCGCCGGAGCGGTACCTATTGATCTACTCACATTTGCATGTTTTCGAACTGCTAGGTTGGCAGAAGCTAGGGCTGACAGCGGAAGCTCACGCCGCTCCCCGGAATTGAACCTGCGACCTTTCGATCAACAAGCTCAGCAACTCAGTGCTTTAACCCACTGCGCCACCGGGGGCTCCCAGACAAAGGGAAACCAGGGTTCAAATCCCTGCTTGGCCATGGAAGCCGGCTGAGTGCTTCTGGATATTCTCAGCCTCCGAGACAGGCAAAGGCAACACCTTTTTGAGCCAAAGAAAAGCCCACGATATCATAAGTCAGAAATTACTTGAAGGGACACAACAACAATAGAAGCATAATTTCCAAGTCAAGAAAACTTCGTATGATCATCTGGTGGGTGGAGTGGGCTCTTTCTTCAGAGAGAGAGAATAAGATATTGTAGTATGGAGACAGAAACACTACTTGTACTCCCCTTATTTCTGCCAAAAGTCACCAACAGTACACTTGTGCCCCTACTGACCCCACAGTTGCAACATGGGGCATGTAGGTTGAAAGTGCAGTTGTGTACTAGCCAAGCCTGTCTCAGAATCATATTGTCTTTTGGGTATTCTGGGTTCCTTTTGCTGAAGATTTCAAACTTATAGAACCAATAAGTTGGCCAGAGGTTTTCTCGAGATGGAATCATGGAAGACGCATGTAATGATGGATGAAATGTTCTCTTTAATTGGACCTCAACAGTGAAACTTTCTTGTAGCAGCAGTGGTTGGAGATAGTCAATACTTGCTCACGTTTCCGTATTTTGTGTTGCAATCAAATTCATTTATTTATTGTGTCAGAAGCAAATTGAGGGTACAGTTATAATGCATTTAAAAACACAAACAAAGTTAAAGTTGGCATTATACTAAATGTCCTTTGACCAGAAGCTGGCCACTTGGAGTGCCTCTGGTGTCGCTGTGAGAAGGTCCTCCATTGTGCATGTGGCAGGGCTCAGGCTGCATTGTAGCAAGTGATCTGTGGTTTGCTCTTCTCCGCACTCGCATGTCATGGACTCCACTTGTGGCCCCATTTCTTAAGGTAAGCTCTGCATCTCGTGGTGCCAGAGCTCAGTCTGTTCAGCGCCTTCCAAGTTGCCCGGTCTTCTGTGTGCCCAGGGGGGAGTCTCTCATCTGGTATCAGCCACTGCTTGAGGTTCTGGGTTTTTACCTGCCATTTTTGGACTCTTACTTGCTGAGGTGTTCCTGCAAGTATCTCTGTAGCTCTTAGGAAGCTGAGGTTCTGGGTTTTTACCTGCCATTTTTGGACTCTTACTTGCTGAGGTGTTCCTGCAAGTATCTCTGTAGCTCTTAGGAAGCTATTTCTTAATTTAAGGTGTTGGCTTGCTGGGTAATATCTGAGCAGAGGATGAGCTGGAAATGTCAATGCCCTGGTCCTTTCATTACAGGGTGCTATTTCCTGGCAGATGTCAAGTGGTACAATACCGGCTAAACAGTATAATTTCTCCAGCGGTGATACACTTTGGGCATAGACATCCTGAGATAATGCGGCATGTCTTATTAAGAGCCATATCCACTGTTTTAACGTGGTAAGATGCATTCCACACTGAACATGGGTACTCAGCAGCAAAGTAGTAAAGCACAAAGACAGATGTCTTCACTGTGTCTGGTTGTGATCCCCAGGTTGTGTCAGTCAGCCTTTGTATGATATTATTTCTAGCATCCACTTTTTGCTTGGTAGTCAAGTAGTGCTTCTTATAAGTCAGAGCACAGTCCAGAGTAACTCTCAGGTATTCACATCTGTACTAACTGTCTGGTTCAGGAAAGTAAATACATTCTTTTGGCCTTTGTAGCACAGCATTAGGTGCACTCTGAAACAGGCATACACAACTGTAATGCTTTGTATTTATACTGACGTAAGTCATCATGCAGGAGAAGTCTGCATCCCATCATGCTGCTATGAGTGTTTAAAAAGAATAGACATATGTTAAAGAGATACGTGCCAATAAAGCTTTGGCTTTCGAGTTTCTTACGTTCTTTTAGATCAGTGCTTCACAGCCTGTGAGTCCCCAGATGTTTTGGCCTCCAACTCCCAGAAATCCCAGCCGGTTTATCAGCTGTTAGGATTTCTGGGAGTTGAAGGCCACACATCTGGGGACTCACAGGTTGAGAACCACTGTCTTAAATGTTTCTGTTGAAAAACTCCTGCCTTTCAGTTATGGGAGGGGGTGATAATTTCAGTGTGTACTTTTCTGGGCTACAGCTTCCAGAACTTCCCAGCGCAAAGAGCCAGTAGGGCTATAATCCAGAAAATATAGTCTGGATCTACACTTCCCTATATCCCAGGATCTGATCCCATATTATCCGCTTTTGAGCTAGATTATAGAGCAGGGGTCCTCAAACTAAGGTCTGAGAGCCAAATACGGCCCTCCAAGGTCATTTACCCGGCCCTCGCTCAGGGACAACCTAAGTCTGAAACGACTTGAAAGCACACAACAACCATAACAATCCTATCTCATCAACCAAAAGCACTTCCCATCGAAATACTGATAAGTGTATATTTGTTAAAATGGTTCTTCATTTTAATTATTGTATTGTTTTAAAGTGTTTTTTGCACAACAAATAATATATGTGCAGTATTCACAGGAATTTATTCATGTTTTTTTCAAATTATAATCTGGTCCTCCCAACAGTTTGAAGGACTGTGACTTAGCCCTCGGTTTAAAAAGTTTGAGGACCCCTGTTATAGAGTCTACACTGCAAGATAATCTGGGATAAGAAGATAATCTGGGATCAGATCCTTGGATATAGGGCAGTTTAGATCCAGCCTAAGTCTTCCCAAGTGTGTCCTAAGGATGCCTACTTGATTCACAAAGCACAGGCATGTAGCCGGGGGGGGGGGGGGGGGGGGTTGAGGGGCTTCAGCCCCCCCCCCGAAATTCTCATGGTGGTCCGCGAGAAGGCCTTACTGGTACATTATTTAAAGTGTTATGTTTATTCATATCATGATCTGATCACCATGCTCAATATATCCCATATGCATGGGGGTATTGGGGTAACGATACAAAAGGTTTGCTAGGGTAGACCCTCTCACTCAGACTCAGCCCCCCCCCCCCCCCGAATCAAAATCCTGGCCACGGGCCTGATAAAGCATGTTGGTTTGGAGAGTTGATTCTAGTTGCAGCCATTGCAATGTAACAGAGAAGGAAAAGGCTGGGTAACAGTAAACATACTTATTTGCCACTGCTGATCTTATGAGAACTCCAAGCATTCCTTAGAACAGGGGTCCTCAAACTTTTTAAACAGAGGGCCAGGTCACAGTCCCTCAAATTGTTAGAGGGCCGGATTATAATTTGAAAAAAGCATGAATGTATTCCTATGCATACTGCACATATCTTATTTGTAGTGCAAAAAACACACACTTAAAACAATACAATAATTAAAAATTAAGAATAATTTTAACAAATATAAACATACTAGCTTGAGGACCCGGCGATGCCTGAGTTATTTGAGAAAAGCATTGTTTGTTTTAGGAAGTTTGGTAATCTCTCTGGATGCAGGGTGAACTACAACTCCCACACAGGTGGGTCATTCTGTGGCAAGTGTGGTCCAGATCCATCGTTGGTTGGGTTCACAGTTGATGTCAGTGAACTACAACTCCTCTAAATCATGGTGAATTCTTCCCAGACATCTTGTTCAGTTGCTGATCAATTCCTGTTTGCTGTGTGAAATAGGAATGGGTAGGAAAGGGTTAAGTGGGAGGCAGTAGACGGGGTCATGCATATTTGGATAGAGAAAGGAACCCTGGGATGTCCATTCTAGAGAAAAAAACAGAACATTGAGGATGAAATAGTCCCCGAATGGAAGCATTCCTTGGGTGACTGGCGTTTGAGAAGGACATTGGCAGGGATTGGGCTACATACATGTTCACGGCACTCACTATATCCTGCAATGTCAGTGGAGGGAGTGCCTTTGGAGCACTTGGAACTATAGCCTGTTTATGGAGATGGGAGACTGTCTGTGTAAGTGGACACCTCCAGCACATACACACTTTTTTCACTTTTATTATTTGTATAGATTAGTATTTCAATGGGAAGTGTGGGCCTGCTTTTGGCTGATGAGATAGGATTGTTGTTGTTGTTGTTGTTGTGTGCTTTCAAGTCGTTTCAGACTTAGGTTGACCCTGAGCGAGGACTGAGTAAATGACCTTGGAGGGCCGTATCTGGCCCCCGAGCCTTAGTTTGAGGACTCCTGCCTTAGAACATGGGAGACGTGCACCCAGATTCAAAATGTAGCACATGTGGTTATTGACCTATTTCTAACAAATGCCAGCTTGAAGTCAGTTCCTGTCCCTTGAGTGTATGTTTTACATGCACATCCAAAATAAGGTTGTACATGTGTTCTGTCCTTACGGTTTTTCTAATTCTTGTACAGCCACATACAATTGTCTGTTCTGTGAGAGGTGTGTACTCATGCACATTTTGGACACAAGCAGTGTATGTGAAAAATGCATGCTAACTCCTTTGTCGCCTCTTTCTCTCTCCCCAACAGTTCAAAAGAATGCTGAACCGTGAACTAACCCATCTTTCTGAAATGAGCCGTTCAGGAAACCAAGTCTCTGAATACATTTCCAACACTTTCCTAGGTGAGTACAAAAGACCCATGCCTTTGATTATCAAATTTCTGTTCCTGGAGATACATACACTCTTTTGCAAAATCTCTATGTCAATTCAGTATTGTAGAATAGAATTGGTTCCTGACTGGGGGGAAATAATCAGATATCGCCATCCTCAAACAATGCTTCCCAATCAAGTTTAATCAGGCAAACTAGTAATTAAAAAGAGAACTATCTACTTATCTATTAGTACCTGGCATAATTCACTTTCATGCAGCACGATATACATAGTTGGTGTCATTTCTTCTCGATGCTCATAATTTGGCTTGGACGCTTATTAGATTTCCTAAACTACCCTTCCCTCCCAAAGGCGCAATTAAAGTTGCTTCTTCTGGTTTGCAGACATACATTACATGGATTGCTGGGGGAATTAATCAGTTTAAAAGGGAAATGCCACCAGTTCCTGAGTTTATCTTATCAAAAAAACTTGAAATCTCTAAATGTCTTCCATAATTCTAGCAAAAGATCTGAGAGTGCTTGAATCTTTGCCTGATAAATAAATTGTCAAGTGTTTCTCTAGTATCTGTCAAATCAATGTCTTCATTCCAATTTCATAAATATGATTGAAATGCCTCTGAGTCTTTCATCTTCACCTGCATATCTTGTCATTTCAAAGTCTTCATTCTCATGCCTTCCTCTCAAAATAATAATTAACCAATCAAGATTTCTTTCTGTCTTGTGTTCAGGAATACTGTATAATGTTGCATTACATTTTTCTCTGAGTTGAATTGAAAGGGGGAAATCCAGAGGTGAATGTTCCCTACGGTTGTGCCATCCTGCTCTGGTGAACAAGTATTTTAGTTTTCCTTCTCGGTTGTGACAGGACTTCCTTAGGCGATCCCTCTTAGTCCAAGGATGATGGTCCTCCAAGTGTAGTGTCCTGGCGGTGGGTCCGTAGGTGACTGTGGAGCCCTATTCTTGATCTGCATCTTCTCCCACAGCGAGGGCATCGGTTTCCAGGTGGAAGGCAGTCCCCGTCGGGGTTGGCTTGACGCCTTCCTCTTGGCACATTTTTCTCTTTCGCCTTCCATTCATACCTCTTCAAATTCTACAGCACTGCTGGTCTCAACTGACCTCCAGCTGGAGCGCTCAAGGGCCAGGGCTTCCCAGTTCTCAGTGTCTAAGGTTGGCTTTGAGCCCATCTTTAAATCTCTTTTCCTGACCTCCAACATTGTGTTTTCCGTTCTTGAGTTCGGAATAGAGCAATTGCTTTGGGGGAGACGGTGGTCGGGCATCCGGACAACGTGGCCGGTCCAGTAGAGTTGATGGCGGAGGACCATCGCTTCAGTGCTGGTGGACTTTGCTTCTTCCAACACGCTGACATTTGTCCGCTTGTCTTCCCAAGAGATTTGCAGGATTTTCCGGAGGCAACGCTGATGGAATTGTTCTAGTAGTTGCATGTGACATCTGTAGACTGTCCACATCGCGCAGGCGTATAGCAGGGTTGGGAGGACAATAGCTTTATAAACAAACACCTTGATATCCCTACGGATGTCCCGGTCCTCAAACACCCTGCTTCATTCGGAAGAATGCTGCACTCGCAGAGCTCAGGCAGTGTTGTATTTCGGTGTCAATGTTGACTTTTGTGGAGAGGTGGCTGCCAAGGTAGCAGAAATGGTCAACATTTTCTAATGTTACACCATTAAGTTGTACTTCTGGCATTGGAGAGGGATTGGCTGGTGCCATTACTAATCATCTTAACCTTAGTACGACAGCCAATGTAATAGGATTTGGTGGAAAGTTTGGGACAAATTACCCTTTTGAATTACAAGTCACAGACGTGTGGCAAATGCTGAGCAATACCTAGCTGTAAGGACAGCAAGTTCAAGTGTTGATCTGTATACACCTGAACTCCACTTGTACTTGGAAAGCTATGTATGAAAAGCAATCCCGCAGTACTCAACGATGTAACCTGTGGATGTTGTAATATGTCAAACTGTTAATCTACTTTTTATTTGCTTTGCATTAATTTTAAGGAGGGGTTAATTAAAACTAGTAACACAACAGTATTAGACTGAAAATAATCACCACGTTGCCTTAAATACTCTTTTAAGATGTAACTTTTGAAAGTAACTAGAAATCTATCGTTCCTTACACCAGTATGGTAACCTTTCCCTGAGTTATGTCGCTTTTGAAATGTGGTATTGTTCTACTTTCATTCTTGAGTAGTTCCAGGTAGCATAGTACTTGTAACTTGCTCCTCTCACACTTCAAAATCCAGCAAAATATAATCGGACTTGGCTAGTGCTTTGCGGATAATTCAGATAATTCTGGCTGTGAGGTTTGGAACCTTGGCATTCTGTTTCCTGTTTGATGTGGGTCTTATTTATTTATTTACAGTATTTATATTCCACCCTTCTCACCCCGCAGGGGACTCAGGGCGGATTACAATGTACACATATATGGCAAACATTCAATGCCAAAGACACACAAAAGATATAGACAGACAGTCAGAGGCTGTTTAACTTTTTTTGGCCACTAGGGGAGTTGTCGCTTTCATCATCCATCTGCGACACTGATGAAGTACTTCCGCATTCCCCGCATGCTTTGATGGAGTGCTACCAGCTACTGCTATATAACGTTCCTGGGTTTCACAGTTCAGACACACCACACGGGGCCAGGCAAGCGAATTACACACTTTCCCCATTTACCACATAACACTGTGATCCTCTGCATGTGAAGAGCTTTTTCTCCAATACGGATTGCAACCTACAACTTCAATCTTGTGCCCATTTACTTATGAGTAAATGTCAGCAGAACCTACTATCCAGCCAAACATGGGTTAAATGAGTCTTCCAGGTGCATCACCCTCATGCCACCGGTGGCGCAGTGGGTTAAACCCCTGTGCTGGCAAGACTGAAGGCCGACAGTTCGCAGGTTCAAATCCGGGGAGAGGCGAATGTGCTCCCTCTATCAACTCCAGCTCCTCATGCAGGGACATGAGAGAAGCCTCCCACAAGGATGATAAAAACATCAAATCATCCGGGCGTCCCCTGGGCAATGTCCTTGTAGACGGCCAATTCTCTCACACCAGAAGCGACTTGCAGTTTCTCAAGTTGCTCCTGACACGACCAAAAAAAAAAAAAACCCTCATGCCACCCGATTCAAATACCTCTCTCTATTCCCCACACGATTGTGTGCCGTGGAAATATATTCTTCATCCTCCATTGTGTGCACTGTCACAACATGAAAACCCATCTGTGGAAATTGCATTTGTGAATAGAGATATAAATGGTCATCACATGGATCCTGGCCCCTCCAGGTAAGTCACACACACACACACATATAGACATACACACTCTCCCCAGCCAGAGAAATGAGCCAGTAGCTGAGGACATCCAAAGCAAAACCCTGCCTGCCCACACACCCGCCTGTGTTCTCCAAAAGCCAGGCCTCCATTGACGTCAGCAGATGCAAATACCCAGCCTTAAGCAAATGTTGATGCAAAACGGCTGCTTCAATAGAAGCCTTGTGTCTGAGCAAGCCGGAACATGGGCTGCGGATTCAGGCCAAGTGTATGTTGGTGCAAGGGCCAGAATTCACACTCCCTACTCAGCAGCTATGGCATGTCCTACCAAGGTCAGATGGCAGAGCAAGGTGGAACAGACGAAACATAAGAGAAAGGGGAGGGAGATTATTTCCCCTGTGCTATTTGCTCTTTGACAACATGGCTTTCAGCCAACCCAAAGAAGTCGAGCCAACTCCGCTGCTGCTGCTACAGAAAAGGGGTTTATCAGATCATGTGTGCAGGTGGGGTGTCTGGTGTTAACCACTACTGTTAAGCAGCAGCTGGGACCCTTGGATGGTTTCTGGTAGTCAACAGAGAATGATTTGTCTAGTAGGCTGTCATGAGACAAAGTCTGGGAATCTACCTGGACATCTGGGTTCCATTTTAGGTCATGGGGCAGGAGCAGATTGCAGGAAATGGGAGGGACCCACTGGGTTGTATATGGCTCAGAAAGGGGTAGGGAGGTCTGTTCATTGGAGTGAGGAAGGAAAGAGAACAGAAGTCTTGGTTCTGCTCCCACCTCAGCTCGAGCATCTCTAATGCTCTGGCATTTCCCTTGGGCCTTCAAGAAATGGCAGCTCTCTTTGCAATTCATTTTCTTGCAGTTGTGTGGTACCACCTCAGTTCTGTGAAAGGATGCCCTTGCTTTCTGTCTAGCTTGGATGAAAACCAGTTTTACACATTCATGTTTTGGAATGCAGGCAATCTTGGTTCTTGGAGATTAATAGGAAACACAAAAGGGCTCTGGGGGAGGAGGAATATCAGATAATAATAATAGTAATAATAATAATAACCTTTATTTATACCCCGCTACCATCTCCCGAGGGACTCGGTGCGGCTTACAAGAGGCCGAGCCCAAATACATCAATAAAAAAGCAACAGCAACAATACAGACAATAAATAAACTCATAAACAAAGCAATAAACAGTAACAATAACACCACGACGCATTAAAAACCTATGGCGGGCCAATTGTAATAATTAAAATTTTTAAAATGCTGGGCATGACAAGGTGACATATAACTAGGGTAGGTATTTGGAGAGAGATGGAACGAGCAGACAATCCAAGATCCTCTATAAGACAGTACAGGTTGAGCATCCCTTATCCGGAATTCCAAAATCCTCCAAAATTCTAAATTATCCACATGGGTAGTTGAGGTAATGGCATATTGTCTTTCTGATAGTTCAGTGTGCTTTGTTTCATATGCAAAATAATTAAGAATATGTTGTATAAAATGAGCTTTGGAATATATGTATCAGGTCTATATGAAGCAGGACTGACTGTCATGTTTAGACTTGGTGTCAATCCCTAAGATATCTTACAATATATTTCGAAATCCAAAATACTTCTGTCACTAACATTTTGGATAAGGGATACTCAACCTGTAGTACTCAAAGTGCCTGCCCTTTAGCTATTGGCTGCCAGATACAGAGATTCCAGGAAGGGAAAAAAGTGGTAGCTAATGGGTACAAATAGGATGCCATTTTGTGGCACAATGGTGGAAAAAAAACAACCCTGCTTCATATTAGATAATCCGGGAATTATTGTTCTAAAAGGGGAAGCCCTTCCACTGGGAATTGCTGAAATGCATCCTGATTGGTTTGTTTGTTCTGTGATATCACAGTTCTGTTTCCTGGTTGCCCAGGGGCCCCACACTCTAGAATGGAGCCATACGTTGGCCCTGCTTTCTTCCAGGGCCACTTGGCCACCCCCCTCCCCTCGGCCATGAGGCCCCCCTGCCGCTGCTTTTCCCGCAGGTACCATTGGGGCATAGCTCTGCCCTGCCACGATGCCACCCACTTCCCTGTCAATCTGCGCCCGCCCCACTTCCTGCCCCCACTAGGCACTGCCAGCATCCACAACTTGCCCCTGAACCGGTCCCCTCCACCCTCTCTCTTTCCCCAATGGGTGGGCCCTGCCCGTGACTTCTTGCCCCTGGAGACAGTGCTAGAAGAAGGAGGGGCAACAAGGCCCCCCACTCCTGAGGGTGAGTCTGTCCGCTCCCAACAAATGGTTGGTATTGTGCACACAGCCCTCCTGTGTAGAAACATAAGTCACACTCCCCTTCCTCCATATGGATTTCAGCTCACACAGTTCTCCTCCTTTATCCTTCCACCCCAAACAAGCTTGGGCTCCATCTCATGCAGGTTATGTACAGTTGCATGATAGATCCATAGATAGCCTGTGACCAAAACCCAATTGTTAGTCCAGTCTTGAGAAGACCTACTGGATTGATGGCATTGACTTAGCCATTAGCATCCTTCTCTATGTAGGATGGAAGATTAGGTACCAATTATATTTTTTAACTACATTGATTTTTGTCATATTTGAGTCGACAGGATGTTTGTGTTTTTTGTTGACCTATGGTGACCCCATGAATTTCAGGCTTTTCTTAGTCAAGAAATCTTCAGAGGTGGTTTGGATGGTTCCTTCCTCTGAAAAAAAGCCTACAGCTCCAGTTATTTGTTGATGGCCTCCTAACCAGGGCTGACCCCATTTATCTTCCAAGATCATGTGGGATCTGGAGCTTTTAGGGTATTTAGGCTCTTTTACTGGGTTATCTCATGACTTTTTCAAACTGTTCTGCATTTTCTGTGCCCCAAACTCACTACTGGTTGTTCTCCTATTCATCCCTAAGCCTACTGTTTGAAATAAAACCACATGAAGGACAAGACTTACTTCTCCAAACTTTTCCCTCTTTATACACTTCAAAGTGACCACGACTTCCACTTATGATCCTTCCTCACCTTCTTCCCTTCTCCCCAAGGCTCATTCCAGACTCTTAATTCTGCTAGTGAAAATAAAGTGGTTTTGAGTGAGTGGGTTTTTGGGTGAGTGAGATGCACCTTTAGATGTCCTGCACAGTTCAGCTGATGAGGAATTACTACTTATTATGCAATGGTATAATAAAATCTTGATGTGAAAGCACCCAAAGTCTCTCTATTAAGCTAATTGCCATCCATTCTCAAACTACCTTGAGCCCTCTCCCAGATGTTGTGGATTGAAAGAAGGCATTTGAGGGTCCATCTTACTCATTAAATGCAGCACTTCCATTCAGAAGGTTGAGGCTGGACTGTTGAGTGAAGATGCAACACTCTCACAGCGGAAGACTGCACTCTCCTTGTCAGCCCTAGAGGTTTGCCCAGAGAGTTTCTTGCACAAGCTTCGAGGTGGTAGCACTTTCAGTCTTTCGCCCTTGTCCCCTCTCTCTCTCAGATGCAGTTTCTTTTCATCCTCAGACAAGCAGAACGATGTGGAGATCCCATCCCCAACACAGAAAGAACGGGAGAAGAAGAAGCGGCAGCAACCCATGTGCCAGATCAGCGGGGTCAAGAAACTTATGCACAGTTCCAGCCTGACCAATTCCAGCATCCCCCGCTTTGGGGTCAAAACTGACCAAGAAGATCTACTCAACAAGGTGAGGTGTGCAGCAGAGAGAAGCTGTCCACTATGGGAGCCAGCTAGGCAAAGACTGTCTTTGACTCTGAAGGCTGGGTGGGCTGGGAGTTGTGGGTCAAAATGAGGAGACCTCTGATATGACTCTTAAGAAATATAAGAGGCCATACTTTGGCTCCACATCTTGCTCAGTTCATGTTGCAGAGGAAATTTGATCTGGACAGTTTGAAGGGCTTTGTGGCATGGAGCACAGGAGCAGGCACCTCCCAGAATATATCTATATCTATTAGGCCTGGGCAGTGCATGGTTCTAAATGGTTCTAAAGTACTTACAAAACTAAAGTTCTGGTGGTGAAAATTTCAAAACTCTAACAAAACTCTCAAAATTTCATTATAAATTTGTATTTATTTATTTCGAGTACTTCTTACCCCGCCCTTCTCAACCCCGTAAGGGGGGGGGGGGACTCAGAGCGGCTTACAACCGGTACAATTCGATGCCAACAATTCAACAAGTAAAATACATAACAGCAGTAATCACAAATAGTTAAAAACAATAAATTAATACAGTAACAACTAAAAAGAAAAGCCAATCTAGTGGCTAATGTTCACCAAGTTCTAAAATCCATAAGTCCATTCAGCATTATCATAATCTTTTCCAAACTCTGGTCGTCATTACCTTGTCAGTCTGCCAGATTACCCAAAGGCCTGGTCCCATATCCATTGTTTTCAACTTCCTTCTGAAGGAGAGGAGGGATGACGATGACCTAATTTCCCCAGGGAGTGAATTCCACAGGCGAGGGACAACCACTGAGAAGGCCCTGTCCCTCGTCCCCACCAGCCTCACTTGTGATAAAGGTGGGGCCGAAAGCAGGGCCTCCCCAGAAGATCTTACGCTCCAAGGTGGGACATAGAAGGAGATACGTTCGGACAGGTGCGCTGGGCCAGAGCCGTATAGGGTTTTATAGGTCAAGATCAGCACTTTGAATTGTGCTCGGAACTGGATCGGAAATGGCAGTTCCTAATTGGTTATGCCATAAAAATCGTCAATAATGAAATAAAAATTAATTTTTTAAAGTTTTGTTAGAGTTCTGAAATTTTCACCACCAGAACTTTAGTTTTGTAACTACTTTAGAACCATTTAAAACCATGGATTGCCCAGGCCTAATATCTATATATATTAGTGTTGTTGTTGTGTGTCTTCAAGTTGTTTCTAACTCCATGGTTAGCAAATCATGGGGCTATCTTGGCAAGACCTCTTTGCCTTCTTCTGAAGCTAAGAGAGTATGATTTGCCCACCCAGTGGGTTTCCATGGCCAAGTGGGGATTTGAACCTTGGTACATAGAAATACACGATAACCCCCCACCCCCTTTCACTATGGAACCAAACCATAGTTTCAGTTACCCATGTATGGGAAATGATCTCTTTAGGAATTTGCTAGGTCTTCTAGCATGGTTCTGTGTTAGGTTTCCCTTAGAAGGAGGCTCTCTCTCTAAGAATCCCTAGGTCCTCCAGCAGAACTGGGACCAGGAGTTAAGTAATTTAATGGTGTTCAGTCGTACCTGGTTTCAGGTAAGCTTTGTCTGGCTGGGAATATATCCTCCACAGATATGAGGGTCTTGCTGTATTTGTGTGTGGATGTCTTTGTCTATTTATTTATTTATTCATCCATCCATCCATCTGTCCATGTATATATTATCTTTTCCCATACCTAAGTAGTCAAAGTGTTCATTTATATAATTTTTTAAAATTTCTTCACGATGACATGTATCCAGCTTCTGGGTTCATTTCCAGTGCTAATTGCCATCTCACCCTGGCAATTAGTAACATAGTGGTTATTCTATAACACAGGAGCCCGAAGGGGCCCATGGCCAAGCCAGGATTCAAAGTTGCTCCCAGCTCATAGGCTGTAAACAAAACCCAGGGATTGTTCTTCAGGGATAGCTAGAGGATCCCTTACTCATGTTTGGACTCAGTTTTGTGGGATAATGGGCCAAAAAGGGAATCTGCCACTAAGGCAACATATTCCTAACCCAGTTTTTACTGGTTGGATCTCAGATTGCAATTCATCAACCCAATTAAGATATTGCTCTGTTTGACCTGAAATGGCAAGAAGGGAGGATTGGAAACTTAATTTTTTGGCTTAAGTTTCCAGAGGGGAAGAGTGTTGTATGTGTTGCTATGTTAGTCTATTGCTGCAACAACCAAGCGTTTTGTGGCACATTAAAAGGCCAATAAATGTATCATAGCACAAGCTATCATTAAATCTGAGCCCACACAGTGCAATCTCATTTCACAAAATTGGGTGGACACAAGAATAGAAACACACAAAAAAGGACACATCTTGACTATTTTCATTGCCAGTGTTATCACTACTACATAAAAAAGAAAGTCGTCATGGAAGTAAAAGCAAAAGGCAGAGTTGACCTTTCATTAGACCAATAAAATATATAAAACATTGCCTGATTATCTGAATATGTAAACATAGAGGTGGGTAAAATGCCACCCAGGCAATGTGCTCCCTTAGGCCTTTTAAAAACATTCTGATTTTAAAAGGCCAAAGACAACCTATGGAGGAAGGGAATGTGCTGAAATTGCCCCCAAAGGGTGCTGGGTGGCATTCTGAGATTTTTTTAAAAAGAAAAAGATAGAGTTGGGTTGTTGTAGGTTTTTTCAGGCTGTATGGCCATGGTCTAGAGGCATTCTCTCCTGACGTTTCGCCTGCATCTATGGCAAGCATCCTCAGAGGTAGTGAGGTCTGTTGGAACTAGGAAAAAGGTTTATATATCTGTGGAATGACCAGGGTGGGACAAAGGACTCTTGTCTGCTGGAGTAAGGTGTGAATGTTAACATTCACACATAGCTCCAGCAGACAAGAGTCCTTTGTCCCACCCTGGTCATTCCACAGATATATAAACCCTTTTTCCTAGTTCCAACAGACATCACTACCTCTGAGGATGCTTGCCATAGATGCAGGCGAAACGTCAGGAGAGAATGCCTCTAGACCATGGCCATATAGCCCGAAAAAACCTACAACAACCCAGTGATTCCGGCCATGAAAGCCTTCGACAAGTCAATATATTCCTTTAGAGCAGTGAATATCAACCTGGGAGTCAGGATCCCCAGAGGGGTTGCAAGGAGTTTTCAGAGGGGTTGCCAAAGACAATCAGAAAACACATATTTCTGATGGTGTTAGGAACCCCTTTGGCAAAGAAGACTGATGATCTCTCTACCTGTCTTTCTCTTCCTTTTTGGAAACAGACAGTGAATCCTTCCACCAAAAGCCCTCCTCTGGCTGTGATTGGCCAGTCTCTCTGCTGGTCTCTTAGCCAAGGGGTGGGCTATTTCTGAGACTCCAACCAGGGAGGGGAGAGCAGGAGTGTTCTCTCCTAAATCATTCTCAGTTCCTCCCAAATCCTTCCAGTATTTTCTGTTGGTCATGGGGGTTCTGTGTGGGAAGTTTGGCCCAATTCTATCATCGGTGGGGTTCAGAATGCTCTTTGATTATAGGTGAACTATAAATCCTAGCAACTACAACTCCCAAATATCAAGGTCTATTTTCCACTAACTCCACAAGTATTCACATTTGGTCATATTGAGTATTAATGCCAAGTTTGGTCCAGATCCATCATAGTGCTCTGTCTCTGTATGTAGGTGAAGGACAACCCCAAAACTCAAGGTCAATACAACCAGGAATAAGTTTCTATGATTATCATGGAATTTGTGCCAAATTTGGTCCAGTGAATGAAAACACATCCTGCATATCAGATATTTACATTACGATTCATAACAGTAGCAAAATTAGTTATCAAGTAGCAATGAAAATAATTTTATGGTTGGGAGTCACCACAACATGAGGAACGGTATTAAGGGATTGCGGCATTAGGAAGGCTGAGAACCATTGCTTTAGAGACAACTTCCTCTTGGGTGCCACATATACTATTCTGCATGGCAGGGGGTTAGACTGGATGGCCAGTGTGGTCTCTTCCAACCCTATGATTCTATGAGTTGTGTATAAATCAACTTTATGTACGAGTTGAGTGCAACATTTGGATAAATCAACCCAGGGTGGGTTTTTTCCCCTAATTTCTTACTAAAATTTCTGGTCTTCCATATGAGTATATATATGCTGTCATTCTCATAAGTTAGACTAATTACATGTTACGGTTGTACAGATTGGCCTGAAAGATCAAGTGGGTCTTTCACTCTGTTCTGAAATTCTCATAAATGAATCAGTTTATTTCAGCCACAGGCCAGAACAACACAATCAGTATCATTCTAACAACATACCCACAGTCTGTGATTGTGCTTTTTCTGAATGGCAGGAGGTTGGACTGAATTGCCCTTGTGGTCTCTTCCAACTCTGTGATTCTGTGTCTTCAAAATGGGATTTCCTTGGTCCATGCAAAGAGAACAGTAATTAAATGATATAAAGAGGAACATTGTTGACTAAGGCCCCATCCACACTGCCATATCATCCAGTTTCTGAATCCAGATTCTCTGCTTTGAACTGGCTTGTATGGCAGTGTAGATCCAGCCTAAAATTATTCTCTTTAATTTTATAATTGCTGCACAAAATTTAGCCACTTTTAAATGATCTTTAGTTCCGTTTTCTCCATTAAATATTTTCAATAGTAGCTATCACATTTTCAATAGTAGCTATCACTGTATTTTAATCTTTGTTCTGTGCATTGTAATATCTGTATTTTGCAGAAATACATTTTAATATGGGTCTGTTTTTAGCTATGTTGAGTGCTGAGGAGAAGCAGATAATAATAATAATAATAATAATAATAATAATAATAATAATAATAATAATAATAATAGCCTGGATTTCACTGCACTAAGGCATAAGAAAGGTACAGCATTGAAATGGCAGTATAACAGGACTTGGTTAACAGTATCCACCACGGTCACACCATGCAAACATACCCACTTTAGGTGAGGTATCCTTTAAAATACATGACAAGCTTTCAGAAGCTGTGCTGTATTTGGCTGGCATTATGTACTGCGGCTACAGATGCATAACCTACACATGTGTAACAGCTTTGTACTGAGTAAGACTATATATATGCCCTTCCATGGCTCACATTGACAGTCAGAAGCCAGATCAGGTGAACAATCCATTTAGCTTCTGATCAGGGCACAAGAACCATGACATTTCCACACATTCCTTCCACAGCGAGGCCAAAACAATCTGAACCCTTATTGCAATTCCTTGTCACTGATGGGAAGGTGTTGTAGTACAGAGTTATAGTAACGTTACTACTACTGGTAGAAGGGAGATTGTGTTTGGCTTTCTTGAGGCTTTTGGGTCTTGACAGGTAGGAATTGGAAACAGAATCCTCCTCCTTGTGTCTCAGTTGGCTGCTAAACAGACCTTCTTCATTCAGTCTGGCAGGAGACATTACATGGCTACACATAAGTAGACAATGTAGAGTATTGGTATTTATCATTTTCTTTTTTAAAAAATCTGCATTGCTTTCCAGAAAATCTCACTTGTGTAACTAGCGTCTTTCCTTGCCTCTCAGTATTATAAGCAACCTTAGTCAAACAGAAAATATACATGACCTGTGTTTCATGCCCCTAAATACTCACATTTATTCAGTTATTATCTTACAGAATATCTACGAAGGTAATGTCCTCAGACTTCGATAATACCTTGTTTACATTCATTACAATTTTCAACAATGTTTTTAATGTGTGTTGTTTTAATCACTGAACACCAAATATGTTATTTCTCAATAATTATAACACACCCACATTGCTCTTTGTGACTTTCTTAGCCATTTGTAATCATTTTAAACCATATTTTTGTTGAAGAATCTAAAATGCTATGAAATCTTTTAAAAATCAATCTCACAAGAGCCCTTTGCCAATTTAACATTATTATATTAATACCCAAATTTCTTAAGTTGCAGGTGCCCCTAGTCCCTTTCGTTACATGGGTTTCCTTCAGTCCTGGCACTGGTAGGACTTTGCCTGGAATGCTAACTCAAACTCCTATTTCAATACCAAAAAGAGCATGTTGCAAGTTTGTTTTCTTCATTTATTTTATCTTCACACCCTGGAATAACCTCCTTTCAGCTTGAAACTCATTGCCTGAAAAATGCATCAATGTTTTGTCCTTAACCTCTCTTCCAGGAACTGGACTACCTGAACAAATGGGGCCTTAACATTTTCCGAGTTGCCGAATACTCCAACAATCGGTCACTCAGCTGCATCATGTATACAATATTCCAGGTACACATGGCTTTGGTAGGAGACCCTCCTGAAGTATGGTATCGATTGACACAATGTTAATATATTAATTTGAAGCTTTCACTATCCTTTTTCAGATAACTTTGGATTTATGTGTTTTAATCACCGAACACTATTTTTTCTGCATTCAGACTCCGCAACTCCAAACATCAAATAATGTATTTAATGTTCAGAATTATGGAGTCTAAACGCAGGGAAAAATTAAACCCAGATAAACACCATAATGGCTGAGAGTTACTCTTTTAGAAGATTTTTTTTTCTCTAGTAGACATATACCAAACTTCCTTTTTCTAGATGGTGTAGGCCATGTCTTCCTGGGTATTTTTAGTGCTTTTAGGGGTGGGAACACTGGAGGTAGATGACACTTCCAGGTTCTCGGTGAGAAGCTGGCTGAATTGCGGGCCAGTATTCCTGGGCCGAGAAGACATCAAAACAAAACAGAGTCTAATGGAGCCTTAAAAGATGAATAAATGTATACACCAGATTCTGTGGTTTGTTCTATATTACCAAAGGGTGAGGTGTTTTAAGTCTGCTGGGGGTTTGTGTCAACAGATGAGCATAGCTTCCCTGAGGAACTTGAACCTCATGGGCATCCTGGGATAAACACATTTCTCTTTCTGACTAAAATTCCTGTGTGATTGTGCATGGATCTTTTACATAAAAAATAACTATATATGGAAAGTAATGAGGCTCCTACACTGAGAACCTTAATAAACCATAAATGAAGATGATGTCTGGGAAGGGACTCCAGCAGACAAAAGAAACCACTTGAGTTCATGGAAGAGAGTGTGGCTCTCTTGCTCATCCTCTTTCGTTGAATAGTAATTACTACTTAGAAGATCTCTGTGCCTCCGTTTTCCCAAATGAGGCTGCCATCCCTCTGACAGTGATAATGGAGAGGGAAAGGACAGTTTGTGCTAACATCTCAAGAGCCAGCTCCCCTTGATATAGCCATGCTTCTTCTTTAGCGATCTTGCATGGTAGCTTTCCCAACAAGTGCTTCTTTTCTCTTCCACCTGCCACCTCTTTCTTAGGAAAGAGACTTGCTAAAAACCTTCAAGATCCCTGTGGACACATTAGTCACGTACATCATGACGCTAGAAGACCACTACCATGCTGACGTGGCCTACCACAACAGCCTCCATGCGGCTGACGTCACACAGTCCACGCACGTCCTCCTGTCTACGCCAGCCTTGGATGTAAGTCTTTGCCCTTGTTTTGTTTCTTCATGAGGTGGAGAAGGAGGAATGGCAGAAGGGACAGACCTAACTTCCCATCCACCCCTCTGCAGGAACTGTTCCCCCATCTCCTGTGGACATTCAGCTGCCAAATTGCAGTTTTGGCCTGGGACTAGATCTAGGGCAGAGACAGCCTAGCTCTCCAAGGGGACTATCAAATTACTGTTGATGTGATTTCCTGAATTTTATTGACTTGAGTCCTTCCACGGCCAAGATGGGGAAAGGAGGCCCTTGCCTGCATCAACCCTCCTACAATACCACTTTGAACATGACCTTAAGCCAGTGGTTCTCAACCTGTGAGTCCCTAGATATTTTGGCCCTGAACTCCCAGAAATCCTGACAGCTCGTAAACTGACTAGGATTTCTGAGAGTTGTAGGCCAAAACACCTAGGGACCCATAGGTTGAGAACCACTGTCTTCAGCAAACATGTAAAACCAGCTGCTGGTCCATGATTGTAATCCCATCATTTCTCCTCTCCTATATGATTTTTTTTTTTTTTTGCCTCCTGAGAAGCCAGTGAGCTTCTAAATCTAGTGTATTTTCTACCTTGCCATTGGCTTAATGGCAATACTGTGATGTATATTTTGGGTTTTGTTGACTTTTTGGACTGCAACTCCCAAGTGGCAAGCATGTGGGCTGGAGGATTCTAGGATTTATAGTCCAAAACAGTAATTTTTGCAAGCTTGGGAAATCTCTCCACGATATTTGCTGGGGCTATAAATCAAAGTGTGGCCTTAGCAGACCTGGCTGTTGAATCCGTGCTGTTTCATTCCTTTCTTCCATTTTTACCCTGCTTTTTCTTTAGGTGGTTGCAGAGAATATGTCTTAATTTTAACCACTGTGACCACCTTCTAGGGACCACAGCAGTGGAGTGCTGGCTGCTTCTCTTTTAGGCTCTTCTGTGGAGCCTGGCCTTATTTATTTATTTATTTATTTATTTATTTATTTATTTATTTATTTATGGCATTTATATGCCTCCCTTCTCACCCCGAAGGGGTCTCAGAGCAGCTTACAATATATCTTTTCATACAATATATTATATTATTAGCATAGTACAATATCAGTATTATATATTACTATATTGCACCACATCATTATATTGTATTATTAGTAATATTACACGTAATGTAAATATATAATTATAATTATAATATTGTATTATTATTACTAGTATTATATTGTATTACATTATAGTATTATAGTATTATATTACTAATAATATAATATACTATATTGTATATACATATAATATTATATTATTAGTAATATAATACTATAATGTTATAATACAGAGGAGGAGGGGCCTTCCAACTGATGATATAGGCAGAAGACAAGATGGAAATGTAACAATGGCAATACTATCTTGAGAGAGGTTAGAGCAAGGACCTATGATTTCCTTTGGTCCCACCCAGGAAATGGTGAGGCATGCAGGGAGTTGTAATCCAAACCAGAATACTACCAGGTTGTAGAGTTGGGCTAGAGCAGATAGACCTTTCTCGTTTTCTTTTTGTCCCATTATCATCATTGCTTTCATTTCCAAAACCGTGCCCTATTCACTGTGCCTGTCCAACTTGAGGGTGGGAAAAGGATTAATCTGAATGAGAATGTCTTTGTTAAAGAGAATGGGAATGAGAGGCAAACTGATCTCCTTTGTAGCCCCCCAAAATTGTATATTTCTTGTGAGGGTTGTGTGTACTTCTTACAACCCAGGGAAATCTCTGGCCTGCAGTGGTTCACCAGTCAGAGCAGCAAAAGAGAGATGCAGAGGTTCTGGTCTTAGGAGTTCCTTGTCAATATATATCCCTTTTGCAAGGGACCTCTCTGAGCTTCCCTGAAGCCCCATTATACTTGGCTCCAAACATGTAACAGGCTCCTTCATGCCCTTATGCCTTTTCAGGCTGTCTTCACTGACCTGGAGATCTTAGCTGCAATATTTGCTGCTGCCATTCATGATGTGGACCATCCTGGCGTGTCTAACCAGTTCCTGATCAACACTAGTAAGTGGCTCGTTGAAACTGGGGGGAAAGGACCATGAGTATGTTATGTTGAGGGATGGTATGCACATCTTGTCAGACAAGAAAAGGGATTTTCATGCCAACCAAATTTCTCTCATGCTTTGTGGTGAAACCTCCCCAACTGGTATCATCCAGATGCACTGGCTTACAAATCCCATCATTTCTAGGCATTATTGATTCTTCTTGGAGGTCACAGAAGTTGTATGGCAACATACCTGAAGGGTCTGTAATACACTCACCCTACAATATGGCCTTAAACATTTGATTTTGCTGTTCTTTCCATGTTCCTTGCTGTATTGCTTGGGGGTGATGGGAGTTCTGGCTCAAACACACACATGCCTCCTCTCTCCAACATATATACACACTAGAATGACTACATCCGGGTTGTTTTGCTACAGACAAGTTGTTGTTTTTAGTGATTCTGTGACCATCTGAGGGCTGGGGTTCTAAACTATTCGAGAATAGAAACTGGGTCAAGATGTAGTCCTGGTTGCAGCCTATTCCAAATGGTGTGAATAAGATGTTGTTCATCCCTTCTTGTAACTGTAGATATTATTACAGCTCTTTCTCTCTGAAAAGGTGATTGAGGTTGTTTTGTGTTGTGGTCTAAACCACATCCTCTGTAGTGGGAAGAAGATGAAGTGTGTGTGGTTCCCTGTGAGGTAAAAAGCTACCATTAGACCCCTTATGTTGGTGGAGATGGGCCATCACCATTGCCACAGTGGGGAGGATAATAATAATAATAATAATAATAATAATAATAATAATAATAATAATAATACATCACACAGTCCTAGACACTTGGGAAGTGTTCGACTTGTGATTATTTGATACGAAATCCAGCATATAGATCTCGTTTGCTGTAAAATACTGTGCTTTTATGTGAGTAAATAATAATAATAATAATAATAATAATAGTAATAGTAATAGTAATAATAGTACTTTATTTATTTTCCACTCTATCTCCCCAAAGGAACTCAGGGCGGATTCCAAACATTCAGTGCCCAATTGCAACAACAATACATCCATGCTAACAAAATTTATACAACCCAACATATAAATATGAGTTATAACTTAACAAACTAAAATTAAATAAAAAGCACAGCCTGTTATAACAGACATAAGACAAATGGGATCGTCCTTCTAGCTAACAAGGTATTTGATACTTTTCACTAGGGTTTTTTATGCCTCTCTGAGGCTGGATCTATACTGCTCTATATGCAAGGATCTGATCCCAGATTATCTGCTTTGAACTGGATTATATGAAGCTACACAGTCATATAATCCAGTTCAAAACAGATAATGTGGATTTTAGATGGCAGTGTAGATGGGGCCTGAGAAAACAGAAGCCATATTGGAGAAGAAGGTAAGACTGACACCAACATCTCCAGGACCGTGATCTAGAACAGGCTTGACATCTACAAATATGCTTACAAAGATGTGTAACACAGCTCTGAGCTTACTCTCCTAAAGCTCAAGGCAGCTTATGTTGTGACCCGCCTTGAGCCACAAGGAGAGGCAGGTAAGAAATAAAACTAGCATCATTATCATCACAACAGAGTGGCTTTATATGAACCAAAAACAAACGGCATACAAAATGTCAATTTCAAACTCTTTAATTATAACAACCCAATATGAAGTGCTCATAGATAGCCACATAGCAGCCCACAAATAAACATCCACCTTCCCTAACCTTCAGAAATACACAAATTACTCAGATGCTTTAAATCAAAGAAGGAGGTGTGTGAAGAAGCTCTATTACAGTATTGAGGCAGCCACTGAGTAGGCCTTTCTCCACTCAAGTAAATGCTCTTCCTGAATCTATATAAATAAAAATGTAATGTTCGTTTGTGGGATTAACATAACTCAAAAACCACTGGATGAATTGACACCAAATTTGGACACAATACACCTCTCAGGCCAACGAGTGACCGTCACTCATAAAAACACTGAAAAACACAGCAGAAGAGACTTAAAAAGTAAAAATAAATAAATAAAAAATACATTACAACACATGTGCAAAACCATATATATGGTTTTGCACATGTGTTTTGTATATATGTGCGCAAACACACATATATACAAAACATATACATAGTCTGGGCCACAGCAGGGTGCCAGGGGGTAGCTAGTTTGTAATAAGCAGTTAATGTATCTGGTGAGGAAAAGCATTTCTCTGGATCCTTGTTTTGCATATAGTACATGCATAGCCTCTTTTTGGCCCTGACCAGACTAGCTTCTGTCTTAGACAGGCTGCTATCATGCTCTTTAGACATTCTTGACTCTTGAGGCTGGGGCAAACAGACCCACTGGAGTCCCTGGTAACCATTAGTTGTGTGTCTAACTCAAAAGAGGCATTAACACATTGAAAAGGATTCAGAGAAATGCTGCTAGGATGGCAGAGGGGCAGCAAGACTAGGTACAGGAGTGTCATCTATTCTGCCCTATATTCCAGGATCCCAGGTTGCTTTGAACTGGATTATATGAGTCTACACTGCCAGATAATCTGGGATAAGAAAATAATCTGGGATCAGATCCTGGGATATAGGCCAGTGTAGATCCAGCCTTAGACATATCTATCATGTGGCACTAAAGAGGAATTAGCTTGTTAGATTAAAATGCTGATAGTACTTCTCCTATAAACTTAATTGTGTCACTTGACCAAAACAGTGTTATTGTGCATCTTGATAAGAATAACGGCCAGAAAGTAATGCATGTTAAATACAACCCACCACCCGATCTTGTAGTGGTGTAAGCAGACAGCTTTTTATTATTATGTGCCTTAAAGTCTTATCAGCTTATGACGACACTTCTGGTGAACCTATCACTGGGTTTTCTCTTCAAGGCTCATTCGGAGGGGGTTGCCTTTGCCTTGCCCTGAGGCTCAGAGTATGTGCTTTGCCCAAGGTCACCCAACTGATTTCTGGGGCAAAGCCTCTAGAGATTTAAAGCGTGGTTTGCAGAGTTGCCCAGTAATTCAACCACTACACCATTCTGTCTCTCAGGCAGACAACTTAGTGCAGCACAAACCCTGAGTAACAATTACACAAAGGGAAGCATAAAACAAGTCATTACAGTTAAAATGTATATTACTGAAGCTAAACAGAGATAGAGAGAATCAGTATCCGTAGTAAACCAATTTGAGTGCTGGACTATGATTCTGGAGACCAGAGTCTGAATTCTTACTCAGCCATGGAAATCTACTGAGTGATGTGGGGCAAGTCACAAACCCTGAGACAAAGGAAAAGAGAAGCCTCCTCTGAACACTTTTTTCAATGATTGGTTTTCATTGGGGCTGCCATAAGTCAGAAATGAACTGAAAATACAAAACAAGAAATAGATGTAAATGCTTTTTACCTCCATAAATGCTAATGGAAAATGAACCAAAGAGGATTGGCTGACAGGGAACAAGAACAAGCCATATCAGGCTATAGCTTGGTGCATGTTATATATCTATGCCCGTTTCCTCACATACACACAACCAGACCATCAATATAGATGCATGTCTCAGTGGCCAATGACTTTTTTTTTGTCGTGTCAGAAGCGACCAGTGATACTGCAAGTCGCTTCTGGTGTGAGGGAATTGGCCATCTGCAAGGATGTTGCCCAGGGGACGCCTAGATGATTTGATGTTTTATCATCCTTGTGGGAGGTTTCTCTCATGTCCCCGGCATGAGGAGCTGGAGCTGATAGAGGGAGCTCATCCGCCTCTCCCCGGATTCGAACCTGCGACCTGTCAGTCTTCAGTCCTGCCGGCACAGGGGTTTAACCCACTGTGCCACCGGGGGTTCCTGGCCAATGACTGGAATAGGAAGATACCTAGGCAGGGTTGCTTGGGCTGCACTTCTTCAGCCAGAAGCACAAAGACCACCTTAGCATCCCACCCACCTCCACCATCATTGGCTGTGCAGACATCTACTCTTTCACATGTGCAACCACATATGTGGGCATGCAAGTAATACCTGTCTGAGAATGTAACACTTTACTCATGCAATTCTAGGCCCTTCCCTCCAAGCCCTAAGAGAGGCAGCAATAGCTGTTTACTGTAGAGTAGAAAAGGCAGAGGAAGAATCAATAAGATTGCACTCAGAGATGGAGTGTGTCCTCTTTTCTTTCCCCACAGAATCCAGATGACCCACTTTTCATTGAGGGTCATCTGGATTCTGATAGGTCAGAAAATAGCCCCTCGCTATCGAAAAGGTGGGCCTGTTCAAAATGCCACCCTTAAATGTGACCAGAATGCTGGTCATTACTAAGAGTACTATAGCTCTCAAAGAGCAAAAAAGAACTGAAGGAGGAGAAGTAAAAATCCACTGGCATTCGGACAAGAAAGGATTCTTAAACTATAGGGAAGTTTCCTCCTCAGTTAAAACCTTCTTAAGAGCATCCTGTTTCAGAAAGCACCACCTTCATCCTTTTTAAGGTGTTGAAAGTGTAAAAATTCATACAGAACAAGACATAAGCAATACCTTAATATACATATCATTTTGTTAAATGCAATAAAGCTGGGCCCTGGTGGCTTCATTTTTGTTTTTTGTTTTTCTGGGTGCTTGCAAGTCAGCTCTGACTTTCAGTATCATAAGGCTTTCTTGGCAGGTTTCCTTTAGAAGAGATTTGCCATTGCTTCCACTGTGGCTTACCCAAGGCCATCCAGAAGGCTCCCATGGCAGAGGGTGTCCCAGACTCCTAGGATACACCTACACTGTGGAATTAATGCAGTCTGACACCTCTTCAACTGCCATGGCTCAGTGCTGAGGAATCCTGTGAGCTATAGTTTAACAAGGCACCCACAAGCTTTTTCAGACCTTGTAAAACTACAGCCCGCATGATTCCATAGCATTGAGTCATGGCAGTTACATTAAACAACAGTGCAAATGCACCCCTAGACCCACACCCATACCGTGATACCACACTGGCTCCTTTTATTTTATCACTCTTTTAAAGGCCACTTTCCCACCAAAAGACTTTCCATATTACATTTGAAAATTTAAGAGATTTCAGGGGCCACGAACAGTACCCACCCATCAGAGTTTTTTGTGATCTATGGTCTGCACTTTATAAATAATTCTCTTATATAAATAAATGGCTTTACAATTGTACATCGGTGTTTAGATCACTTTTCCAATGTGCCTGACATAATCTGATTATATTCAGCCAAACCAATCTTTAATGTATTTAGCTGCAAGCCATTCTAATGTGGTAGACAACATAAAATCATCCCAAATAAAAAATTACAGTACTGTGGAACTGCAACAGACGATCTGTATAGCAGATATATTAACCACCCCTTAAAGTTAGTTATTATAAATGTTTAAAGTCACCAATAAAATTGGCAATTTTCCAATGGCCACAGTATATACTTACTTAGGCAATCCCTCATTGTCCGAGTAGGATAATCCTCCTGGGTGGGTCTGTAGATGACTATGGAGCCCTATTCCTGATCTGCATGTTCCCCCGCAGTGGTTTCCAGATAGAAGGCGGTCCCGGTCGGGGTTGGCTTGACGTGCCTTCCTCTTGGCACGTTTCTCTTTTTCGTCCTCTCTTTGTGCCTCTTCAAATTCTACAGCACTGCTGGTCACAGCTGACCTCCAGCTGGAGTGCTCACAGGCCAGGGCTTCCCAGTTTTCAGTGTCTATGCCAGAGTTTTTATGGTTGGCTTTGAGCCCATCTTTGAATCTCTTTTGCTGCCCACCAACATTCCGTTTTCCGTTCTTGAGTTCGGAATAGAGCAACTGCTTTGGGAGACGGTCGGCTATCCACACAATGTGGTCAGTCCAGCAGAGTTGATGGCGGAGGACCATCGCTTCAATGCTGGTGGTCTTTGCTTCTTCCAGCACGCTGACATTTGTCCGCCTGTCTTCCCAAGAGATTTGGAGGATTTTCCGGAGGCAGCACTGATGGAATCGTTCTAGGAGTTGCATGCGACGTCTGTAGACGGTCCACATTTCGCAGGCATACAGCAGGGTTGGGAGGACAACAGCTTTATAAACAAGTACCTTGGTATCCCAACAGATGTCCCGGTTCTCAAACACTCTCTGCTTCATTCGGAAAAATTCTGCACTCACAGAACTCAGGCGGTATTGTATATAATGCCACCATAGAGATGAATACTCAGGTTGGAGGTCTTCAAATGGTTGTGTCACTCTGACCTAAGAAAACAAATGCTTCCTTATTCTCTGTTCATTTTGTTCTCTCTAACCTGGACCTTTCTGCTTGGCAGATTCAGAACTGGCACTGATGTACAATGATGAGTCTGTGCTGGAGAACCACCACCTGGCTGTGGGTTTCAAGCTGCTGCAAGAGGAGAACTGTGACATCTTCCAGAACCTGACAAAGCGACAGCGGCAAACGTTGCGGAAAATGGTCATAGACATGGTGAGCCTCAGAGTACCTTCCAGGGGATGAATCTGCCCAACACCTTCGACAGAGACTCCCCTCCTGGTCATTGTTTTAGGAAACTAAAAGTACAAGCGTAGCCATCTTGTTTTTCATCTTTGTTGAAATCATGCTTCAAAAATTGTCTTATTGAGATTGTGGCTCCCTAGAATCCCTGTGCAGGCAGAGAAGCAGCTCCCCTAAAAGCAGGAGTCCCCTTCCAGATGCTCTTTACACTTTCACCATGGTCTGAAGACTGGACTACTGAGAGTTTTATTCAGTGGCATCACTAGAGGTGTGCAGGAAGTGCAGACCAGTGGCATCATCAGAATGGGTGACACCAAAAATTTTGTGCAGTGTTGAAACAAATGCATCATTTATATATAAAAAATATCCCTGCGGTGGCTTTTGGAAGCCCATCTTGCATGTACTGAATCAATATAGCTACAAACTATAGTAATTTGCTTTTTGAACTTTCTAATGTGTATGCACTCTGATCAAAGCTGGCATTATTACGCAGTTACAATGATGAGGCAATACAAGCACATGCTGTCATTTTAATTCCTAATGATTTTGTATAGTCACTGATTTTATCATTGCATTCAGTGGTATATTGGAATTACAATTTACGAATTACATTAATACAAAGCAGAAACGAAGGATTCTGTATGGTTTGGTATGGGAGGAAGTCTATGGGGGTGACACTAACCCTAGTGATGCCAGCAGTTGCAGTCTCACATTTGAAGGTGTGCTTGGCCAACCCTTGCCAAAAGGAGTGATACACCCACATCCTCTGGTTTGTATGAAGTTTGTGGATTTTAAAAAAATTACACCAGTATGCCTGGGACAGGGAAAGAAATGCAACCTGGGAGGAGCTGCATGTACTAAGACTGAGAAGCACTCTTACTCCGTCCTTAATATTCTAATTTGTGATTCTTCAGGTCCTGGCCACCGACATGTCCAAACATATGAGCCTCTTGGCTGATCTGAAGACCATGGTGGAAACCAAAAAGGTGACCAGCTCCGGAGTTTTACTATTGGACAACTACACTGACAGAATACAGGTAAGCAAGGCTTGGGCAACATTGTTGTTGTTGTTTTGGAATCTAAGCCAGACAGCCATAGTCAGAAAGTGGACAGAAGGTGATTTCTGGTTTCAAACCAAAGACTGTTTAATGCTCAGAAAAGTAGTAGTCAAGGAGAAAGATACGCAGTGTTATTCCCACTAATCATAGGCCCCCTAATTCACATTATTTCCAACTTTCAAAGATGATCTAGGAATTTTCTTCCTGTTTATTGTACACATACCTTACAGCCAGGGCTGACTCATAACAACAGGGCTGTCTGAAGCAGAGCTTCAATAAACACAAAAGAGTTGAACTAAGGCAGATGAGCCTTAGTTCAACTCTTGACATAGGGCAGTATCTTCCATCACATCCAGTGATAGCCGTCTATAGTTTAGATGATACAGAGCTCTCTTCCAGCATCATCTTCAGAAGTTTCCTTCTGAACAGTGGTAGGATTGACTCAGTTCTCCTTTCCAAAGGGTTTGCTTGCAGCTTTGACAGCCTTACCTGTGGTGCAAGGAGAACAGCTTGGAATTGCTTTCCTTTTTCTCCCCAATGCAACCAGGTCCTACGGAACATGGTCCACTGTGCAGACTTGAGCAACCCCACGAAGCCTCTAGAGCTGTATCGCCAATGGACAGACCGGATCATGGAGGAGTTCTTCAGGCAGGGAGACAAAGAACGGGAACGAGGCATGGAGATCAGCCCCATGTGCGACAAGCACACCGCCTCCGTAGAAAAGTCCCAGGTTGGTGTGCGATGACTGTCTAGAACCATGCATCATTGTCAAAGAGAGGGAAACAGAGGGATAAATCATTACTCGTCACTACTGCCTGATTACTCTTACAATTGCACAGCTTTTCAGGTGGACAGATGTCTCATGTCAGACCTGAGTCAACCGATGCTGTGAAAATCCATTTTATCTTTAAGAAACAACATTTCATTTATCCCAGAATTCTGGCAGAGAAAAAAGTGTAGCAAGGAGGCAGTAAGAAGATTGGACAGTCTTCTCCACCCTAAATACCTTCCAGATAAGAGCTGGAATATAGTTCCCATTATCCATAACAGTCCATAGCAATCTAGCTGTGGGCTTGGGAATTTAATCCATCACCTCTGGAAAGGGCTATAGTGGGGCAGAAGATGGCTGGCTGGGGGAAAATGACACACACACCCCAGTGAATGCTGGCATGGCCACGAGAGGACATGTGGAACCTGGAAGTGGATGGGCAACAAAAATAGTCTAGAGAGATTGGTTAATATCAAGGGCCAGACCAATCTGTTGTCTGTGGACACAGATTTATCTGTCAGAAGAGTGGTGCGTGAAACTTTGGATGCTCTATTGATTGCATTATCAATAAGATGACCTGGATAGCCCTTGGCTATGAATTGATTTTTTTACTGATGTTAAATTATATTCAAAATTTTATTGCAGTGTACAATTGCATTTGATTCTCAGTATTTGAGAATAAGGTAAATTATTATTTAAAGATGGTAAATGGAAGCTAGAATGATGAAGAGTAGAGTTTCAATCTGTTGGTTTTCGGTAATTATTACCACTAGTCTACTGTTCAGTTTAACAACCAAAACATCTAAGTACAGAATGCTATTTGGGTCAATATGTCCAGTAAATTTAATGTCCGGGTGAATGGTGTAGGCCCATGTCAATAAGTCCTGTGCAGATTGTAGATCATATGGCACTTGATCATATGGCAAAAGATTCTGTGTGAAATTCAAAATAGATTTCATTTCCAAATCGTCCATGAATAAATTGGCAATGGAAGGAGTAATTGGACTACTCATGGCTACACCTTGAATTTGAAGGTAAAATTATTAATAATGCCACCATCAGAGCATCCAAAGTTTCATGCACCAACAAAAATAGTCCCCATGATAGCAATGGAGTCAGTGATGGCACGAACTACTGATTATTGGGCCTTCTGCAGCACTGGTTTTGCCATAGAAGGAATTTGCTAGCAGTTGTTGTTACAAAGGATTTGTTGCCCTATAAAATGCCTCTTCCCAGCAAAAAGCAACAGCTGGTTTTTAAACAAAAGATACTTCCTGACACCAGTGAGACTGTTGTTGGATCACCAGGCCCATTTATGCTCCAAAGGAGAGCAGAAAAGGCTTTTACGCCCCCCTTTTAGCATGCAAACCAAATACTTTGGTCCCCCCACCACCACCACCAACAGTGTCTACTGAAGGGAAAAGTGTGTTCTTTTCACGCTAGCTGCCAAGCCAGTCATGGTTGTGAGAGCAGGGAGTACTGTGATGGTACAAGAGTCATAGCTGGGAACTCTGACATCACACCAGTCTCCTGTGTGCACACCATTTTTGGAACAAAAACTTATACTAAATCAGACCATTGGACCCTTTAGTCCAAGACTGTCAATGCCAACTGGAAACAATAGCTTCAGGCAGGATTCTAAATGTACCTGGAGATCCCCAGTTGTCTTCAACTCCACAAAACGGACACTTAGCTTCCAAAAGGAAACTATTTTGTTAGCTTAAAGTGGTATGATCATCTGTTTCTGAGAGCTCAGTGCCAGAGTGTGGAGTGGTTGTGCACAAGAGAGAGGGAGAAATGAAGAGGTGGCCAGGGGTAGAGAAGAGGTGGGACTTCATAACCACCAGCAAGTCTGCTCTCTCCCCTTCAAGTTCCACCATTTAATGAATCATATCTCACTGCCACCCCACTTTTAACACAGATTTTTTAAATCTAATTCTTAAGTGCTGGATAGCACAGGTATTCTGTAGTTGGGAGCATAATGTGTAAATGATATTTCAGTGCTAACTGTTGCACTTCTTTCAGGTATATTGGATGCAGGAAAATGCTCTTAGATTCCCAGCAGCAGCCCATGTTTCTAGCAATCTGGAGATTCATAAATAGACTTATGAGCAGTCAAAAACCATAGGTCAAATGAAATCTATTGATTTTGCTCTTCTTCCTCATCTAATTTATACCTTTCTCATTTCTTGAGCCAAAAAAAAAAAAACCACAAAAAAAACCCTGTGTCATTAAACACTGGTTTGCTAGTCATAACACAAGACTTCCAACCACTGTTCCCCTTTCCATGGAACACCCTAATTCTATTGTCCACTGATCCAAAAGTGAAGCGTAGGCGAGATGCTCCACTTTGTTCCTTTGGGGGTAGATTGTAGCCAAAGGAATCCCTCTAAACATCCTGGTAACCCAAGAAAGATTAACATATGTTCCACCAGGATGGAAGATTCAGCAATCACAGGCCAACCACTGAGATCCCCTTTGGACCACAACTGTTGCACAAGACTCGATTTTAAAAATGCAAGATTGTTGTATACAATCATTTTGTGGCGTTATCCATGAATCCCTTGAACTGCACCTGGAAAGCAAGGCTAGGATTTCAAGAAGCTGGGAACAGAACTTGCCCAATCTTTCCTCCCCTTTCCAGGTGATGTTTCAACCCTCCCCTCGGGTTGTCCTATCCACTCCTGTCTTGTGGTACCCTCTTAGGTTTATAAGTAAGACATTATAGGAGAAAGAAATGCATCAGCCCATTACTTTTTACTGCCTGAGGTGAAGAACAGAATAGTGCCTTCCCTGCCCTACTGTGTCCAATTTAGCACTTAGCTCTTTCTTCAGCCCTGGCTGTGAGAGAGCAACCTGCATCACACATGATGTCAGTCGCAAGCTAGATGGGTTACAAACCCCCTCCTGCTGCTTCTCAACCTTTGCCTTTGCTGCTCTGTACCTTCTTGTAGAGCTGCCCCTGGCAAAGTCTTGAGCGAAACACATGTCTCTACAGGAGCCAGCAGCTGCCTTCATAAATATCACTTAGCTGAGTCTTCTGAAACTATTTTTTTGGTTCGCCTCGCTGTCCTTTTCTTTGCTAACTGTCTTCTTCCCACCCACAACTGTGCTTCAGGTGGGATTCATTGACTACATCGTGCACCCACTGTGGGAGACCTGGGCGGACCTGGTTCATCCCGACGCACAAGACATTTTGGACACCCTTGAGGACAACAGGGACTGGTACCACAGTATGATCCCCCAGAGCCCTTCCCCGCCTCCGGACGACGCAGAAAAAGACGATGAGACCTGCCTTGAGAAATTCCAGTTTGAACTGACCCTTGAAGAGGAGGGCGAGGACTCAGAGCAGTCCGACAAGGACTGCAGTAGTCCTGGCGATGAGGACAACAGCTATTACACCGCTGCCGAGGAACACCCACACGAGTCCCTAGAGGGGCAGGACAGACTGACGGATGACACATCTCCTGGTGCATCATGACTGTAGGGAAGGGACAGTGGAAAGGGAGGGGAAAAAAACAAAACAAAACCACATACATACACACAGCCACACACAGAGAGAAAGTTTTCACAGGGAGGGGCGGGGATAAAAAAAACAACAAAAAAAAGCATTTTTTTATTTTTATTGTATTTTTTATAAAAAGAAAATCAACAATAAAAAAGCAGGGTGGGGAGTGGGGGAAATACACACAGCAACTGTAGAACCAGGTTGGCCCAGCAGGGAGCAGCAGCCTTCTGCTGCAACGACCGGCCCAAGCACTCCAGAGGAAACCGTACCTTTCTTTTGCTTTTTGTTTGTTCCTTAAGTACTGGTTCTTAGTGTTTTTTTAAATTATTGTTTTATTTTGCTAACTTCTGTTTTTAAACGGCCTCCACAGAAAAAACTGGTAAAGTTGAGAACTGAAGGAGGAAGGTGCTGTTGATACGTGACATGTATGTAGCAGTGGCAGAGGCAAAGCAGGTGGATATTTTTTTTTAAGTATTTAAAGTCATTTGTAGTAAAGCAAAGTCACTGCTGGACTTTGACTCCAAACGCTAGGTAACGCTATGTAAATCCCAGTGGTCCTATGGGGTCCCTGACTCCAGACAAGCCCTCTTGATTTGGTTCATTGATTGGTGCCTTTATTCCAAAGGTGACAAAGCCTTAGTTCTGCAGAGGTTGCTAGGCTACAACTCCCATCTTTCTTGAACACTAGCAGTGCTAACCAGAGGGATGGAATTGAAGTCCAACGGCCTTTGGAAGACGTCAATTACATCAACTTATTTTTCTTTGCCCATTACAGCAAAATCTTCTTAGATGGAAAACAGGGTGTTCAATAACTAGGAAGAATTGGAGAGAGACTGAATAATTTTTGACTTTTGTGTTATTTTTAAAGCCAGTAGTAATTTATTTTCATGAGTTTATATAAGTTTGATTTTACTATGGACTAATGAGAAGAAACAACCTTGCCTTTTTCCAGTTTTGTTCTGGGGTTTGTTTGTTTTTTGTGTGAAGGGGAAGCAGATTTTTAAAAAATATATATAGTTTGCAGGCAGGGAGATTTTTTTTCTCTCCTTTTTTGTCTGTGATGCCATAAAATTCTTCCAGCAGCAAATGGGAGAATATATTTACTTTTAAACAAAATGAAAAAGGGAACAAGACATCAGATAAGCAAAGCATTCTATCCTAATAGCTAATAAGTCTTCCTCTGTTCATCTTTTGCACATGGACATAGACATGCACCACACACACACACACACACCAAGGCAATACAGCCAGGGTTGAATAATTGAAACTGGCCATTTTGCTCATACAGCTCTATTGGGGACCGTAGGTGTTCTTCTCCCAGTAGGGGAAGTGGATCAGCAGACAGAGAGAATAGTTTCGGTACCTTCCCAAACCAAGTGGGGGTCAGAGGAGTCATTGTTTTAGCACTCATCGACTGTATCCAGGTATGGTGGTCAAAAAAGTTAACTAGCAAATTTACTAATTGATAAATCCCCAAGGTGTAGTAGTCCATCAATTTCCTCATGCTCTTTACAGATTTGTCAACTAGGTAAAGCAGATGTATTCAATCCCTCAGACACACAGACCTTTTTGCACGTGCCACCAGACACAGGAACATTTCAAGAGGATCTGAAAAAGCAGGTTCTACGCAAAGGAGGCCTGAATCTTTATTTCTGTGCAATGTAATGTAATGTGGCTGGAACACACAGATATTTTTTATTTGTGACATTAACTGTGGGTGGGTCTTTTTTCTTAGTTCAAGAGTTTGGATGCTTTTGGTTTCAGGGCCCACCTTGGATTGTCTACTCCCTAGAAATTATGACAGCCAGCCATGGGGATGGGGAAGGAATGTTTTCCGTGAGCCCAGAACACCCTACAATCAATGCCCTATTATTATGGCATAAGCCAGATACTGATTTTAACCCCTTAAAATTGGTTTGGGAGGAAACCAAAATATTCAGGAAGTCAAGTAATGATAGGGAAGGTCACAATCACATTTCCTGAAGTCAACTACAGGAAGCTTAGCAAAGGGGAACCGAAGAACAGAGTGCTAGATCTTGCCTGCCCAGGTCTCCAGGCTGAATGCTATTCTCCTGAGCAGCTCCCTCCCCTCTCTCACCTTAGGCACCTCACCCGAGCTGTCTGCTCCTATAACGCATGTATCCACCCATCAAAGCAGGGCCTGTCACTCTGCTGCAATCCAGCACCTTCGCCAGAGAGCAACGGCTATGGTGGGAGGAGAAAATACATGTTTTTTTCTCTCCCATCACCCCCAACCTGTTCTGTGGGATTTTGACTGATATTTTCAGGCTGCTTCTATTCTTTGCCTTAATCAGCTAGTGGAGCTTGATTTGCTACTAACCCTCTTATCATTGTCCTCCTGGCATCAAAGTTGGGAGGAGGAAGGGAGATCATCTTTCCATCCAAAATGCCTTGGCCCAACTCCTGGATGGAATTACTCCTTGGGTGTCTGGAGACAGGAGGTTTTTTTTTCCCCTATGGAGAAGTAGTGCTTGGAAACCCAGTCTGAAGGACTACTGGAGACAAGTGGCCAAGGCAACTCCTTCATCCTGTGCCTCTATCCCATTGGGATGGGCAGGAGGCTATGGAATCATATTTGGCTGGCTTGCTCATTAATCTCTCATCCATGTCCTCACATTGCTTGGAGGGCCTGTCCTCATTGTATTGTTGGTTTGCTACAAGGGAGGAGAAGGGACCTTCAAAGCAAGTGGGTGTTGAAAGTGTCTGGTGTATTGAACTATGTGAGTCAAGACAAATGGCTAAGGACACAACTTCTCTCCCCGGCAAAAAGGCCAAGCCTGAGGCCTCTCTCCCATCCTGTATTACAGAGACCGTCCGAATTCCTCCCCTCTTCATGCATAAGGTGAAGCAATAACAAGGGAGGTCTCCTTGCCATCCCCATTAATGATGCTGAGCTTTTGAACCAAAGCCAACTAATCCTCTTTTGCAAAGTTTCCATTCCACACACAACCACCCCACTTTACATTGGCTTCTGCTTGGCCGGCAGTCTCCCCAGCACATAAGTCCAGAGAGGCAACTGCACAGCTTTTCAGGACTTTTTTTCCAAGCCCAAAGCTTGGTAGGGGTGATTGTAGCCAGGCGGCAGGGAAAACAGGTCAATGGGGGTTGTACTGCAGCCACTTTTGCCACCACCACCACCTGTTAGGGTGAACTTGAACACTACTGGCGCAGGTTCGTGGTCTTACTAGAGATCCAGCTGTGCGGAGTAGCTATGTTTGTTAGCTAAACCCCGTGGTGGCCTATTTGCGACTGCTGCTACTCTTCCTACCTTGCCAGTCTCTGCCGGAAAGCCAATATAAGGTTATCTCCTTCTCCAACCCGAGGAGAACATGGCCATTTCTGAACACAGTACTGTAGCCATTTCCTTTGTATTTTTCCACTTTTCTTTCTTGGAGCCTCAACTGAAGAGAAAAAAAAACATACAAAAAAAGAAAAAAAATACGAAAGAGAACCTCTTTCTTCCTTGATTTCTGTATAGCTTTTATTTTTGTATGCATTTCTGTTCCATGAGTTTATTGGGTCGGGTTTGGACTGTACATAATTGTGAATAAGAAGATTGTAAATTATTCTAAAGAGCAAAACAATCTTACAAACAATACTCTCCCTCTCCCCCAATCCTTCCTCTGCCCCAACACTTGCTGGGGAGCAGGTAATGGGGTGTCACTGTGTTGGGGAGCATCAATGGAGAGCCATGAGGTCTCTGGGAGATCCTCTAGCTGCATTCTCTCCTCGAGAGCTCTGCCACACATACACACACACGCACCCTACCCTAACCCAGTTTCTCCTGTCTGTGTATTTATGGTGTAATATAGACACACATTGGAAATTGTAGAGTTGTCATTTCTTTTCCTTGCGGTGTTGTTGATCAGCTGTTCCAGTGTTCTCTCTCAAATGTTACCAAAACCTTTCAGCAGCCAAGCTCACAATAAACCAGGAGGAAGGGCTTCTCTGTGCCTGTGACATTGGCCTGGCTTGTCTGAAAACCTGGGTAATGTGGGGTGATGGGGAGGATCGGGGGGGGGGGGGGCAAGGCTTTCCCTTTTTCACAGATGGCAAACAGAAAACCAAAGTGCAGTGGTCTAATGTGGCCAGAGCACCAAAGTGTTTCATTTCCAGATGTAATAACATCACCTCCACTGCCCACTTAAGCTTCCCTGTACTCTCCATGGTAAATAAAGCGGGGAACAAGAATTTTCCGAAAAACAGCTGTTGTGAGTTGTCCCCATTGTAATGTAAAAAATCTGGTATGGCCTGATATGGAACAAAAAAACTAAGAGTCATTAGCTCTATACAAAATTTAGTGCTGGTAGAGATGGGAAGTGCTAGAGCTGGATTGTTGCTCTAGGTCAGCACAGCTGCTGCCTATTTAACCTTTGCTTGGGAGCATTACTATGGGGACGCTTTGAAATGTCACTGCTGCATCTCTTCCTGAGAGCAAAGAGGATCCCAGGAACCCTCAAGATTTCTTTCCAAGCCAAGGAAGAGCAAGGATTCGTGGAGTAACTTTAACTTGTCCATGCTGTTTCCATTCTCCTCCTGACTAGCAAAATAAACCCTATCTTTGTGAGCACACATTGCACTTCCCTTAAGGATGCCTTCACTACACACTTATCTTATATTCTGCCTTTTTCGCAGCATGGGACCCAACATTTTGGAGATCATGGCTCAGTATTTGGGAAGACTAGTTTTGCCACCAGCATCCTGCATTAAATGGGTGTAAGGCATTTAGCACTTACAGCATGTATTCCCATCCCCACCTCTCCTAGCTACAAACATCCCAGCCACCAGCCAGAATGTAAACAAAGTTAGTGTTCTAATCCTAATGATAAACACATTAATCACAATTATTAATTATACAACTAGTAGAGAAAGCAAAAAGTAATCAGATGCTTCATCTCTTCCTTGGAGGCAACCACAGTCAAGCTTGCATGTGTGTGCCTTCAGCTCATCTGTTAACTTCTGGCGAACTCTTAAATTCCATGGGGTTTTCTTAGACAATACTCAAATGTGGTTTTGCCAGTTCCTTCCTCTGAAATATAGTCTACAGTGTCTGGTATTCCACTAATTGTCTTCTATGCAAGCAGATTTACTACCTACCAGGCTTGAACCTGCCTAGCTTCCAAGATCTGATGCTTTTAGGGTATTTAGGCCACTCAGAGGGGCCGACCAAGGGCAAGATGGATGGATGGTATCCTTGAAGTGACTGGATTGACCTTGAAGGAGCTGGGGGTGTCGACCGACAGGGAGCTCTGGCGTGGACTGGTCTATGAAGTCATGAAGAGTCGGAAACGACTGAACGAATGAACAACAACAACAAGGCCACTCATGGGGCTTGTACCTTTTGATAAATCATCTTTCTTCTCAGTAAGGAACCTGCAGCAGAACTCGGTCTCCAAAAGTCTGGTTCAGGAGCTTGTTACACATAAAGCATTCTCTGAGAGATCTAAGTTTGGGACAGTCAGAGACTTCAAGATGCAACAGCTTGGCTTCTCATGCCTGGATGCTAACCTACAACCATAGAGCTGGCTGCAAAGTGAGTCACATGCCAGCTCATCCAGTGTCCCCTCAGGAGATGACTAGAGGACATTCTGTAATCGTTTGAAGGCTCTGTGTCTCTTTCAAAGGCAGTGCCATATTGTTGTGGTTCAGCATAGTAGCGGACGGATAATTTGAAAGCAAGACGTTTCTTTCCAAAATGGTAGAGCTCTGTGATTCACTGGTAGCTGAAGGCTTCCATGCCAGTGGGTAGTGAATCCGCTTGGATATTTACTCTAAATTTTAAGGGAAATATCCAGAGTGCTGAAACTATTTGAGAGCCTAAGATTCAGTACTTTGAAGATCTGTAAAATCTACCCTTGCAGAGGATACCAAATTGGGATAGCTAATATCCTAGAGAACAGGATCAGAACCCAAAATCACCTTAACAGTGTACACAACGGCAAAAAAAATGCACTTCAACAGGGAGAAATGTAAAGCACTTCACTAAGGTAGCCAAAAAAGGAATTGATGGGTAAAACCTGCTTTGAAAACCATATATCCAAAAGGAAAATATGAGTCTTGGTAGACTACAAGCTAAATATCAGTCAACAGTGTGATTCAGCTGCTAAAAAGGCCAATGTTGTTCTAGACTGCCTAAGAAGGAGCGTACTATACTCTAGATTGAAGGAAGTCACAGTCCCACTCTATTCTGCTTTGGTCAGACCTCATTTGGAAGTACTGTGTCTGCTTCTGGGCACTGCAATTCAAGAAAGCTACTTGCAAGTTGGAATGCGTCCAAAAAGTGACAAAAATGGTAAAAGGTGTGGAATAAGGAGTGGCTGAGGGAACTTGGTTAGCTCGGAGAAGACAAGGCTGCGAGGGGATTGTGCATAAATATTTGAAAGGTTGTCCCATTGAGGAGGAAAGAAGCTTGTTTTCTGCTGCTCTAAAAACTAGGACATGGAACAACAGAGTCAAATTGCAGTAAAAGAGATTCCACCTAAACATTAGGAAGAACTTCCTGATTATTGGAATCATTCGACAGTGGGATGAGCTGCTTCCTTCTCTGGAGGTTTTCAAACAGACTGAATGGCCATCTGCTGAGAGTGCTTTGATTGTGTGTTCCTACATGACAGGGAGTTGGACCTGACGGCCCTTGTGGCTTCTCCCAGTTCCATGATTATATAATCCTAAAACCTAGAGTGATTTGCCACCAGGGCCCAGCATTAGAGGACTGGAAATTGTGCAAGGGCATGACTACCATGTGTTTGCCTAAATGGCCACATCTAATACAAAACTTAGGAAACTTATGAGGGATTTATTTGGACCACAAGTCCTGAAATGCCACAGCCAACATGCCCATTTTTTTTCAAGTCCCAAATCTGCCTGCTTGGATGAGAAGATGCCACCTTGCCTGTATTTCCACCACAAAGACATTGCCATCCAGGATATTGGGTTCCCCACTGGCACGACACCAAGCTCTTCTTGTTCTTGCTTTAGCTATCTTGCTACCACCAAGGTAGATATTTGGGGGGGGGGGGGAGTTGCTCTCAAGAGTCATCTCTCAGAACCAACAATCGAAAGTCATACTGCAAGAACAGTCAGTTCTCGGGTTCTTGAGGATTTCACTTCTAAAACTTTCATTCATGGATTTGACTAATAGCATCTGTCTAGAAATCTATAGGTCCTCCAGCATAACTTTATGGTTGACTTCCACCACAGGATTGCACTGGAGCAGAGTTTCTCAAACTGTACTCCTCCAGATGTTTTGGACTTCAGCTCCCAGAATTCCTAAAAGCTGGTAAGCTGGCTTTGATTTCTGGGAGCTGATGTCCGAAACACTTGGAACATAGTTTGAGAAACACTGCACTGGAGGACTTAGAGATCCCTAGGCAGAACATTTCTCCAGGCATTTGTCTAAATGACTTGAAAGCAAGTGTTCAACAGAAGTTGGCCACAGAATTACAATGGAGGCCTTAAGCGATCTCTAGGGAGGTGTTTTCTCAGGTAAAAAAATAACACTTTGTAACATGATTTTTATAATGTCATTTCCTAATTGGTTCTATCATAAAATGGAAAAGATTTATTAAACACTGAAAAGGTTTATTAAACTGCAAAAACTTTATTTTTGTTGGATATCCTGCAGCACATTTTGCTATTGTTTTTCATAGAGTCTCAACCAATTCAACATAAGTTCTTGTGGGTTTTTTTTGGGCTATATGGCCATGTTCTGTTTTTCGGGCTATATGGCCACCTCACCTCTGAGGATGCTTGCCATAGATGCAGGCGAAACGTCAGGAGAAATGCCTCTAGAACATGGCCATATAGCCCGAAAAAACCCACAAGAACTTAGTGATTCCAGCCATGAAAGCCTTCGACAATTCAACATAGTTTGTGGCTGCCCCAAAAATGAAATTGTGCAGCACTTACTTTCAAAGTAAGTACCACATAATTAAACAGAAACTATATTTTCAAACAAGGAACAGGAAAAAAAAATAACTTTTGTTACATAGTGTAATTATGTGTTTTTGTTGTTTGTGGGTTTTCAATTTCTGTAGGGATCCTGTGCCCCAATGCCAGCAAACATGAAGGGCTGGCTGTATTCCATCATTTCCTGCCCTTCAGATAAGGAAAAATACAAAAGACTGGGCCAGCAATGCAGAAAGACAGGAGGGCAACATATCAAGGGCATCACTATCTGGATCCCCTACCCATAAAATTGTGAATGAGGCAGGATAATTACATGATTTTAAAAACTCACCTGGAAGAATTTCGATCACAACAGCTAAACAGCAATCTCCCAGTGCTGCCAGTTTTGGGGGCTTGGGCCCAGACTTTACTCTGAGCATCTGAGGGAGTGGAGAAGCTGTTAAAAACCCATCTGTTAGAAAAGCATGCAACATAGATCCTTAATCACTTCCTTTTCATGCTGTCCTTGGCAGCAGTATCTATATTGCCACCTCCTGGTCATATGCAAAACCCCAGCTACTGAAGAAGGACGTGGTTCCTGATAATGCTGAATTGAAAATGCTGGGTTGAACTAGTTCCATGAAACCTCAATCTCGTTTTCAAAGAATCATAGAGAGCTGTAAGAGACCACAAGGGTCATCCAGTCCAACCTACTGCCATGCAGGAACACAAGATCAAGGCACTCCCAACAGACAGCCAATAAATTTCCCCACCTGCTGCACTGTCTTTGTAACTAAAGCCTTTCAAATGAGGGTTGTTGTAGGTTTTTTCGGGCTATATGGCCATGTTCTAGAGGTATTCTCTCCTGACGTTTCGCCTGCATCTAGTGACCTCACTACCTCTGAGGATGCTTGCCACAGATGCAGGCAAAATGTCAGGAGAGAATGCCTCTAGAACATGGCCATATAGCCTGAAAAAAACCTTTCAAATTAGTCAGTTTACTATCTGGGTAGCAATCATGATGCCCTCTGGTTGTTATTGGACTGCAGCTCCCATCAGTACTTAAAAGATTGTAGCCAGTGGTAGGTAAGGAATGAAGTTCAACAACATCTGCAAGGTTGCACCCTTCTATCCCTGCCTTATTAATTGACACTGAAACTCAATGGGAATGTCACACTGTGGGTGCTCCCATATATAGATGGTCTTATAGTACAAGTTGAGTCTCCCTTATCTGAAATGCCTGGGAACAAAAGTGTTTTTGATTTCAGAATACCTGAATTTGCATATAAATGCATCTTGAGATATCTGGGAGATGAGAGCCATGGTTAACACTGAATGCATTTACATTTTGTATATACCTTATACCAGGGGTCCTCAAACTAAGGCCCAGGGGCAGGATACCAGGCCCTTGCTCTGGGTCAACCTAAGTGTGAAACGACTTGAAAGCACACAACAACAACAATCCTATCTCATCAGCCAAAAGCAGGCCCACACTTCCCATTGAAATACTAATAAGTTTATATTTGTTAAAATTGTTCTTCATTTTAATTATTGTATTGTTTTTAAGTGTTTATAGCACTACAAATAAGATATGTGCAGTGTGCATAGGAATTCATTCATGATTTTTTTTTCAAATTATAATCCAGCCCTCCAACAGTTTGAGGGACTGTGATCTGGCCCCCTGTTTAAAACGTTTGAGGACCCCTGCCTTATACACTTAGCTTAAAGGTAATCTCATATAATATTTTCAATAATGCCTTGTATAAAACAAAGTTTGGATACACTGAACCTCTAAAAAGCAAAGGTGTCACTATCTCAGCCACCCACATGGGCAATTTTAGATTTTAAAGGGTCTTGGGAAAGAGATGCTCAACTTGCATCACGATGCCACATTCAAAGGATGTTATTGTTCAGGGGGCAATCAATGTTTTCTGATATGAACTCTCTATGTCTTCATATTTTCCTGTGTAAATCCATTTGGAAGAGAAAAGTAGAATATTTCCACCATATCTTTTCACTGGAAGTACTATGACCTGTCCATCCCCAGGGTTCTCTATGTTGGACCAAGGATAACAAAGAATCCAATGGATCCCTAAAGTCTCACACTTGTTTCCCCAATATATTGGAAGTTGGAGAGTCTAATAAGATTTGAGAAGGACAGGTATAGGCAGTGTGGCCTCCTTCCCTGGTTTTGGACTACAACTTTCACCAGTCAAGCAACTGTGGGCAATGGTCGGGATTCATGGGAGATGTGGGAATAAACAGCTTGAGGTCCTTGTGTTGTCTATCCTAGCCATACAAACTAAATCTTTTCTCCTATCTCCTGTACTGTGAAGAGAGTAACATCCGGTTCCCCTGAACTGAGCCTCTACTGCCATCTGTTGGATGTTTAAACAATTTATTACAGTCAGCACTCCACATTTTCAGGTTTCACTTTTGCGGATTTGATTATGTTCTCTCTAGGCATCTCTAGGTTCTCCAGGATGACTCTATAATAAACCTCCGCTATAGAGTTTGGCTGGAGGACCTAGACATTCCTAGAGCGAACACTTTTCTGTGTCAGAAATACTAAAGATTAACTAGGTGTTTTTAATTACAAAAATGTGAGTCAAGCACTGAAAGGATTAAATTGATGCAATGACTCAGAAAAAAAACTGCATTTCAATATAAGCAGATGTGCCTGTAGCTTAGTTGCCATCAGAGTGTGAGAAATCTCTGTGGGAGAAGAGCCTCAGTGTGTTAGTAGGCCTCAGTATGAAAAGGCCTGTGTTAGTTCACCTCGGTGTGAGAGAGGCGTCAGTCTGAGAGGGCCCTCAGTGTCAGAAGGCCTCAGTGGGAGAAACGCCTCAGTATAACATTTCTAGGCCATTCAGTGTGCTGCAGCAGTTTTCTCAGGTTAAAAAAATCATGTTTTTATTCAGTTTTTTGCAGTGGTTTTGCACCCCAATCACTGCAATGTAATTGTATTTTCTTACAGCGTATTACACGTTGAGTTATACAAATGAGACTGCAATCCTATAAGCACACATTCAGGAAGTACAGCCTGTTTAAACTCAATGGGACTGACTTCTAGCTAAATACTGTATGCATGGGTTAGCACTGTTAATGCACTCTGTAGATGTTTAAAAAACATGAGTCTGTAACCCCGGGTCTCAGTAGTGGCCAGGAGAGCTTTTGCACAATTAAAATTTGTGCATGAGAAGCAAGACTTGGCCATGGTAATCCATGCTCTTGTTACATAGAATCATAGAGTTGGAAGAGACCTCTTGGGCCATCCAGTCCAACCCCTTGCCAAGCAGGAATATTGCATTCAAATCACCCTGACAGATGGCCATTCAGCCACTGTTTAAAAGAAGAAGGAGCCTCCACCACAATCCGGGGCAGAGAGTTCCACTGCTGAACGGCTCTCACAGTCAGGAAGTTCTTCCTAATGTTCAGATGGCATCTCCTTTCTTGTATTTTGAAGCCATTGTTTCTGACTTTTTCATTGAGCAAAGGAGACTGTAACCTGGACCTCTGTTTAAAGTTTGAGGACCCTTGGTTTACAGTCTTAGGTAAAGGTAGTCCCCTGACATTAAGTCCAGTCATGTCTGACTCTGGGGTGTGGTGCTCATCTCCATTTCTAAGCCGAAGAGCCAGCGTTGTCCGTAGACACCTCCAAGATCATGTGGCCGGCATGACTGCATGGAGCGCCGTTACCTTCCCGCCGGAGCGGTACCTATTGATCTACTCACATTTGCATGTTTTCAAACTGCTAGGTTGGCAGAAGCTAGGGCTGACAGCGGAAGCTCACGCCGCTCCCCGGAATCGAACCTGCGAACTTTCGATCAACAAGCTCAGCAGCTCAGTGCTTTAACCCACTGCGCCACCGGGGGCTCTCATAGTCTTACATAGTCTTAGCCGTTACATATTCGTATTACGATTTTGTGTTAACTGGTCACGCTGCAGCTTCAAACACTTGCTCAAAGAACCAGGTTTTAACTCGTTTTCGAAAGGTCAGAAGGGAGGGGGCCGAGCTAATATCCCTGGGAAGGGAGTTCAACAGCTAAGGGGCCACCACTGAGAAGGCCGTCTCTCATCCCCACCAAGCGTGCCTGTGAGCCAGGAGGGATCGAGAGCAGGGCCTCCCCAGGCGATCTCAACTTCCTAGAACAGTGGTTCTCAACCTTCCTAATGCCGTGACCCCTTAATACAGTTCCTCATGTCTGGTGACCCCCAACCATAACAATATTTTGGTTGCTACTTCATAACTGTAGTTTTGCTACTGTTATGAATCGTAATGGAAATATCTGATATGCATGATGCATTTTCATCCACTGAACCAAATTTGGCAGAGATACCTGACACGTCCAAATTTGAATACTGGTGAGATTGCAGGGACTGATTTTGTCATTTGGGAGTTGGAGTTGCTGGGATTTATAGTTAACCTACAATCAAAGAGCATTCTGAACTCCACCAACGATAGAATTGAACCAAACTTGGCGCACGGAATTCCAATGACCAACAGAAAATCCTGGAAGGCTTTGATGGCATTGACCTTGAGTCCACTGTGGACTCAAGCAATGATAGATCTGGACCAAACTTGGTATAAATAGTCAATATGCCCAAATGTAAACACTGGTGGAGTTTCGGGAAAATATACCTTGACATTTGGGAGTTGTAGTTGCTGGGATTTTTTGGTTCACATACAATCAAAGAACATTCTGAACCTCACTAACAATAGAATTGGGCCAAACTTCTTGTATAGAACCCCCATGACCAAGAGAAAATACTGTGTTTTCTGGTGGTCCTTGGTGACCCCTGACACCCCCCTTGTGACCCCCAGGTTGAGAAACTCTGTCCTAGAAGGTTCATAGGAAGAGATACATCCGGATAGATAAGCTGGGCTGGAACCGTGCAGTGGTTCTCAACCTGGGGTCCCCAGATGTTTTTGGCCTACAACTCCCAGAAATCCCAGCCAGTTTACCAGCTGTTAGGATTTCTGGGAATTGTAGGCCAAAACATCTGGGGACCCCAGGTTGAGAACCAAACTTTAGGGCTTTATAGGCCAAAGCCAGCACTTTGAATTGTGCTTTGAATTATAGGACAAAGCCAGCACTTTCAATTGACCCTTGGGTCTCTTCCAGCTCTAAGAGTTTGGGAAACAATTACTGTTTTGTTGAATTTGATACATCCTAATAGCCTTTTGGGATGTTGTCTCTCTTCTCTTTGCTCATTTTCCGCCAATAAGAAAACAGGAAATAGCTGCCTGTCTCCCCCCCCCCCCCCCCTTTTGATTGGTTGCTAAGGGACACGTTTCTCCCCGGAGACTCTGTCAGGCAGAAAAAAGCCAAAGATGCAAGCTGACCTTTCACAGACACATGAGGCCTTTCCCTCAGAAAAAAAACCAAGCAAACACGCACAACATCTCTTGGGTGCACACACTCTTCTCCTCAGAAAGATGTTTTGTACACACTCCCACCTTTCACACAAATATCCACAAAGACACGTACTGTATTACCTCACGTGTCTCTCTGAAACGCCTCAGTACTTTAAGACGCATGCGCGGAGAATAAAACAAAAATGGAGGCGGCTCCTTCCCTGCAATGCTTTTGTTGCTTCTCTTCGCTCATTTTCGGCCAATAAGAAAACAAGAAGTAGAAATTGCCTCCCACCCCAACTCTTGATTGGTTGCTAAGGCACACATTTCTCCCCGGAGACTGCTCCATGTCCTCTTTTTTGATTGACACATGGTGTTGCCCTGAGGAAAATGTTTGTGAGTTGTTGTAGGTTTTTTTCGGGCTATATGGCCATGTTCTAGAGGCATTCTCTCCTGACGTTTCGCCTGCATCTTTGGCAAGCATCCTCAGAGGTAGTGAGGTCTGTTGGAACTAGGAAAAAAGGTGTATATATCTGTGGAAGGACCAGGGTGGGACAAAGAACTCTTGTGTGCTGGAGCTAGGTGTGAATGTTTCAACTGAAAATGTTTATGTCTTTGAGGGCCCTTCCACACAGCTCTATATCCTAGAATATCAAGGCAGAAAATCCCACATTATCTGAGTGTGGACTCAGATAACCCAGTTCAAAGCAGATACTGTGGAATATTCCGCCTTGGTATTCTGGGATATAAGGCTGTGTGGAAGGGCCCTGAGTCAATTTAAAGTGACCACATTAATTTCATAGGGCCACACAGCCATATAACCCAGAATATCAAGGGAGAAAATCCCACAATATCTGTTTTGAACAGTGTTATCGGAATGGTACCTATTGATCTACTCAGGAGATTCCATCTGAATATGAGGAAGAACTTCCTGACTGTGAGAGCCGTTCAGCAGTGGAAATCTCTGCCTCGGAGTGTGGTGGAGGCTCCCTCTTTGGAAGCTTTTAAACAGAGGCTGGATGGCCATCTGTCAGGGGTGCTTTGAATGCAATATTCCTGCTTTTTGTCAGGGGGTTGGACTGGATGGCCCATGAGGTCTCTTCCAACTCTATGATTCTATTCACATTTGCATGTTTTCGAACTGCTAGCTTGGCAGAAGCTGGGGCTGACAGCGGAAGCTCATGCTGCTCCCCGGATTCAAACCTGCAACCTTTTGGTCAACAAGCTTAGCAGCTCAATGCTTTAACCTACTGTACCATTGGAGGCACTTAGGTTCTCTTAATTTGGTGTTAATACACTAAAGAAGCTCCAGTGCCAAGTACAATGGGAGAAGCAGACTGAATCCTACAGCCTCGGTTTAGTCATATTAGCTTCCAGGAAGAGGTTCTGCTTATTTTGCTTTTGGGGTCATTTATTTGTGTTTTCAGCAATCCATATGTCGGTAGCACTTACATTCTGTAGGTTTCTCATTAAGTTTAATTTGTATGTAAATCAGAACAGGTACATTTTAAAGTGTAACTCTACCATATAGATATGCATTTTGGATAGCATATGGGGTTAACACTGTGACATTTGTTTTGCTGTTTTGTGCCCTATTCAGAAGATCTCACCTCACTTTCTGTCCCTGTGATAATTGGATTTTGAAAAAATTAGCTTGTTGTGGAAACAAGGATTGGAGAGAAAGCTACAATGGAGAGATCTTTTCCCCGTTATAATTCTTCCAGGAGTGAATTTCCAAGAAGTAGATTTCTCTCACTTCCTGTTGTCCCACCCCCGTTCTTAACTATGAGTTGTCTGTCTGTAACTTGGAGACTGCCTGTACTCTATTTTCTTCCTATTGGCTTTCTTCACTGTCCAGCTTTTATATCCTAGATAAAAATAGGAAATACAATGTCATGAGCAATCCTAACTCTAGTACCATTAAACAGGAGCTTTTCTGTTGAGGTCGAGGGCCAGAGAAGCAGATGGTGGAAACAGAAGAACGGCCTACCTCAGGGGAGCGTGCTCACTCCATCCATGTTAAACATTTACACAAATGACCAGCCACTGCCAGAAGGGACAGAGTTTCATCTATGCTGATGACCGTGCCATTACCGCTCAAGCAGGGAGCATTGAGATGGTTGAACAGAAGCTCTCCGAAGCTCTAGGAACCAGCTGATTCCTAATCCATCTAACACACAGACATGTGCCTTTCACCTTAAGAACAAACAAGCATCCCGAGTTCTGAGGATTACCTGGGAAGGGATCCCACTGGAGCATTGCAGCACACCCAAATACCTGGGAGTCACTCTGGACCGTGCTCTCACCTACAAGAAGCACTGCCTGAACATCAGGCAAAAGGTGGGTGCTAGAAATAATATCATACGAAAGCTGACTGGCACAACCTGAGGATCACAACCAGACACAGTGAAGACATCTGCCCTTGTGCTATGCTACTCTGCTGCTGAGTATGCATGCCCAGTGTGGAACACATCTCACCACGCTAAAACAGTCGATGTGGCTCTTAATTAAACATGCTGCATTATCACGGGGTGTCTGCACCCTACACCACTAGAGAAATTACACTGTTTAGCCGGTATTGCACCACCTGACATCCGCTGGGAAGTAGCAGCCAATAGTAAAAGGACCAAGGCAGTGACATCTCCGGCCCACCCCCTGTTTGGGTATCAGCCAGCACGTCAACAACTTCAATCAAGAAATAGTTTTCTAAGATCTACAGAGACACTCGCTGGAACACCTCAGCAAGCGAGAGTCCAAAAGTGGCAGGCTCAAACCCAGAACCTCAACCAATGGCTGATACCAAATGAGAGACTCCCCCCTGAGCACACAGAAGACTGGGCGACTTGGAAGGCGCTGAACAGGCTGCGCTCTGGCACCACGAGATGCAGAGCCAACTTCAAAAAATGGGGCTACAAAGTGGAATCCATGACATGCGAGTGTGGAGAAGAGCAAACCACAGACCACCTGCTGCAATGCAACCTGAGCCCTGCTACATGCACAATGGAGGACCTTGCGGCAACACCAGAGGCACTCCAAATGGCCAGCTACTGGTCAAAGGACATTTAATCAACTACCAAGTTTGCAAACTTTGTGCTGTTTGTTTGTTAAAAATGCAATACAACTGTTTGATTTGCTCCTGACACGATAAATAAATAAATACCATAGATAAAGTCTAGAAAAGCTGTACTGATATGATCCCCAACCCTATTGTTACCTGCTGTGAAGTTAACTGGCTTATTGTATTGCTATGAAAGAGATACCTCCAAGTTGATAATAATCAACAGTTGTACTCCTCCCTTAACTGACTCTATCCACCTAGAATGCAGTCTTCTTCTTTACCAACTGTACTTTATCTTACCTGGTATTATTGTCTTTTCTAATGAGTCATGTCTTTCCATGAAAGGTCCAAAGTCTGGCAATTTCAGTTGACTCATCTCTGCTTCTAGGAGACTTGCTCCCGGGCTTATTTGTGTTTTTGGCAGGCCATGGACTTCACACAACTCCCCTCTATCTTTACTTACTTACTTAGGTGATCCCTCCTTGTCCGAGTAGGATAGTCTTCCAAGATCAGTGAACTGGTGGGTCCTTAGATGACTGTGGAGCCCTATTCGTGATCTGCATCTTCTCCCGCAGTGAGGGCATTGGTTTCCAGGTGGAAGGCGGTCCCGGTCAGGGTTGGCTTGACGCGCCTTCCTCTTGGCACGTTTCTCTCTTTCGCCTCCTTTCGTGCCTCTTCAAATTCTACAGTACTGCTGGTCACAGCTAACCTCCAGCTGGAGTGCTCAAAGGCCAGAGATTCCCAGTTCTCGGTGTCTATGCCAGAGTTTTAAAGGTTGGCTTTGAACCCATCTTTAAATCTCTTTTCCTGTCCACCTACATTCCGTTTTCCGTTCTTGAGTTCGGAGTAGAGCAACTGCTTTGGGAGACGGTGGTGGGGCATTCAGACAACGTGGCCGGTCCAGCGGAGTTGATGGCGGAGGACCATTGTTTCAATGCTGGTGGTCTTTGCTTCTTCCAGCACGCTGACATTTGTCTGCTTGTCTTCCCAAGAGACTTGCAGGATTTTCCAGAGGCAGCGCTGATGGAATAATTCCAGGAGTTGCATATGATGTCTGTAGACAGTCCACGTCTTGCAGGCATATAGCAGGGTTAGGAGGACAATAGCTCTATAAACAAGCACCTTGGTATCCCAACGGATGTCCTGGTCCTCAAACACTCTCTGCTTCATTCAGAAAAAGCTGCACTCACAAAGCTTAGGCAGTGTTGTATTTCAGTGTCAATGTTGAGTTTTATGGAGAGGTGGCTGCCAAGGTAGCGGAAATTATTAACATTTTCTAATGTTACACCATTAAGCTGTATTTCTGGCATTGGAAAGGGATTGCCTGGTGACTGCTGGAAGAGCACTTTGGTTTTCTCAATGTTCAATTTCAGGCCGAGCTTCTTGTATGCTTCTACAAAGGTGTTTAGAGTGGCTTGTAGGTCTTCTTCTATGTCATCAGCATACTGGAGTTCTATAACAGATGTTGTTGTAACCTTGGTTTTGGCTTTCAGTCTGCTGAGGTTAAATAGCATGCCATCTGTCCAATAGATGATTTCCACTCCGGTGGGAAGCTTCCCGTCAACAAGATGAAGTATCATAGCGATGAAGATGGAGAATAAAGTTAGGGCAATAACACATCTCTGTCTGATACCCGCTTCCACCTTAAATGGGTCGCTTTGGGAGTCATTGCTGTCCAAGACTGTTGCCATCATGGAGGAGCCGCAGGATGTTCACAAATTTGTTAGAGCACTCGATTTTCTGGAGGATGGTCCAGAGAGCGGTGCGATTCACTGTGTCGAATGCCTTTGCAAGGTCGATGAATGCCATGTACAGAGGTTGATTTTGTTCCCTGCATTTTTCTTGGAGCTGTCGTGCAGTTAATATAATGTCCACTGTTCCTCTGGAGGGGTGGAAGCTGTTCTGGGATTCTGGGAGGGTGTCTTCTGAGAAGGGTAGAAGGTGGTTTGCAATGCCATCAGCCAACAAAAAAAAAATAACAAAGCCAGCAGACCTGATGGGATCCCTGCTGAAATCTTTAAAGAGGGAGGACCTGAGCTGACACACCAGCTCCACCAGCTCATAGAAAAAGTGTGGGCGAGCGAGAAAATCCCAGCAGATTTCAAGGATGCCACCACCATCACCCTCTTCAAAAAAGGGGAAAGAACAGACTGTGGAAACTATCGAG